TTAGATGAGCAATGTTTTCCAAGTGCAATTTTTCCCAATTACTGGAAGCCAGTGTTTCCCAAACAGGGGTGCGCGGGGCTCTTACAGGGGCTACTACTACTAGGCGGCACGGTGGCTGAGTGGATAGCACTCTCGCCTCTCAGCAAGAAGGTCCTGGGTTCGAATCCCGGTCGGACCAGGGCCTTTCTGAGTGGAGTTTGCATGTTCTCCCCTTGTCTGCGTAGGTTTCCTCCGGGTACTCCGGTTTCCCCTACCACTAAAAATATGTCCAATAGTTCTGGCATGTGCCTCCTGTACTGGCGACCCCGCTCCCATCTCTGTGTGGAGTGAGTGGACAAGTGCCCAAAATTAACAATTGTAAACCGCTTTGAGACTCAGATCTGCAGTGAAAAGGCGGTATATAAATAAAGATTACTTACTTACTTACTTACTTACTTACTTACTTGAAGTAATTCTCAAAACGTGTAAACCGAGGTTACACATAGTGTTGGCTATGGCATGGTATACATACATTTAAAGATACTTTTCTCAGGAATTCCACCATATAAATGATTTTTTTTCTCAACATTAAGCCTAAAGCAAAATTAATATAATTATAAATTTTCCATCAGTGCAATGACAATCTTTTTTTTTCAGTGCAAGCATGTCATTTTTATCAGAAAAATGAATATACATACTGTACATAATTAAACAGAAAAAATCCATGGAGACTTTGGTTTAGCAGTGAATCCTGAAAACACACAATGAGTTTGCCTCTCCTCGGCCATGATAAAGGACTTTGGCAGTATTTTTCTTTAAGCACAAAGGTGATTTCAACCTATCACAGTGAAGTACAAACTCTTAAAAGTTGTTTTTTTAGCTTGCTCTTGTTATTAACCAAAAGAATAGATTCCCTTTGTTTATGCTCTCGATCGATACTGACCGCTTACTGACCTCAGCGCGCCTCCGCCATTCCAACCTGTTTGGGTGTGAGGCTATGGGCGTGAGATTTATGAAACAGATCAGTCTCCGGCCTTTACAATAAAGTTGTCATAAAGCTCACGGTGAAGAGATGTTTCAGTAAATCTGAAAGTCAACACGCTGTGCTTACTCTAACCTACATTACTGACGTCCATAAGAGCAGGATGCATCTTTGAGAGATCGAGGCCAGTCACATCTGAGGAGTATACATGTCGTTTGTGGCAACTTAGAAAATCTTTAAACAAATAAACCTTAAGGCATACCAATCTTTTTCTTCGCTGCAAAGACTTATATATATGGGTATTTTTTTAATAAGTCAATAATATCTACAGCAAAATAAAGTTGATCAAAATTTAAACAAAAATTACACAATCTGAAATAAACCGACCACATTTTCACTTTTTTAAAGAGAAGATATAAGTTTAAGAAATCTCAAGGTAAAACGCTTTTTCGGCTTAAGTCACAAATGGCAATGGATATAAAGTCTAAAATGATTATGATTTATGTCCATGTGTCGTGTAAACACAGTGACCACAAAAATCCTGATTGAAGTCACTCTTGTAAAAACTGATCTGAGCACAGGTCAGGGATCTGACACAAATATGTCTATTTGGTCAAAAAACAAACTTCTGCATTTATAAACAGAAGTTTTTAAAGATTGAGAAAGTGCTGCGACAGTTCCAGAACATGAGAACATGATGTGAAAATCTGGCCAAAGTTCATTCATGTCATGAGATTCATCGTAATTGCTTTTTTAATGGATCTGTAGTTCACACAAGATACGCTAAAATGACACAAATCAGTAACTCTGTGGACTCGTATAAAAAGAACAAGACCCACTCGTGTTTCCTGAGACACCGGATTAGAATCAATGAACTAACTAGTCAAGAGGACATGTTCTCAGATGCCTAATTTGAAACAATAATATATACTGTATGTGTGTTCTGACCTTTCAGTCTGGTTTCAGTTCCACTCAGTGAAGTTCCACTCCACTGAAACTGCTTTACTGAAAGTGTTTAGTGACATCATGATGGCTGCCGACTTTGGTAAATGTTCCGTCCTGGTCCTGTTAGACCTGTCGTCTGCCTTTGACACGGTGGACCATGGCATCTTGGTCTTTACCCAGAGCTTGACATGCCGCAGTCTAGAGTGATTTAGATCATACCTGACAGGTAGAACTTTCTGTGTGTCCTCAAACAACCTGGTGTCTGAATCTGCAGACCTACAGTGGGGTGTACCCCAAGGCTCTGTTTCTTGGGTCTATTTTGTTTATGATGTACCTGCTCCCTCTAGGCAAGTTGATCCTGCAGTTCAGTGAGGTGTCCTACCACCTGTATGCTGACAATCTCCAGCTGTACTGCTCTTTTACGCCCTCTGAACCCCAGAGACTGGTTGCTCTCACCAACTGTCTAGAGTGCCTGAAGAATTGCGGCAGTGTTCAGAGGAGTTAGAGGAAACAACGGTGTATCAGGAATACAACATATATAAATTCCTAAAATATGTATGAGCTTCTCTAAAATTAAAGTTGATGATGGAATCAACAAGAGAAAACATCGTCAAAATAAAGAAGAAGAACAATGGTTCTTTACATTGATGTCTCCAGTAGGTTAGACCAGTGTTTTTCAACCTTTTTTGAGCCAAGGCACACTTTTTTCACTGAAAAAATCTTGCGGCACACCTCCAGGAGAAAATGTAAAAATGTATACAGTACTAATGTAAAAAAATATATACTGTACATACTCTGTGTGATATATAAAGTATATCTTATCTTATAATGTATACAGTATACTCTGTAGCCTATATTCACAATATACAGTTATTCTCATCAAAATGCTTAAGTCCAGGCCTTGAAATTAAGCTTTATTTAATATTTCTCGATACAATTAACAAGAGTTTGGGAATAAAGTGGCACTAACTGTGTGGAAAAAAACTAAGAAAATCCACTCTCTGCCCAAATAGTCAAATAATAACTCACGCAAAGAACATGCAGCTTTAAATTCAGGAGTTTTGGATGAGGGACACGGGAGGTCCTGAACGCGAGTCCATGGTTCTGTCCGGTCCGCATGTCTGTGGTTCTGTCCACTCGACTACGGTCTGCGCTCGGTACCCAGTTCAGAAGTGCGTTCGCGAGAGCTGTTGTACAAAAATCGTACATTTCATAGTTAAACCACTACAACGCGGCCACAGCTACCCCGGGGCAGAGCGGAGGATGTTAATCCTGTTCAGAAACGGCATAATTCATTTTCAAAAACGTCTCTATCACTTTCACTTCTCACTCGCCACAAAGCTCTTGTCTCGCTCCCTCCCACATTTGTTGGTCGCATCCAATTTTACCTTTCTCGCCACAATGCTGACCTGTTACAGCCAGTGGTCGCATCCAATTTTTCAGTTTCAAAGTACTTAGCTATCTGCTGCCATCTACTGATTTGAAAAAGTATTACATGGTTACTCAAAGTTCAAAACAAGTCACTGCTCGTCAACAGCGAATGCAGCTATTTTTAGACAAAGTAGACGAATTTCTCACGGCACACCAGACAATATCATACGGCACACTAGTGTGCCGCGGCACAGTTGTTGAAAAACACTGGGTTAGACTACTGCAATGGCCTGCTCACAGGTCTGTCCAAACAGGCTGTAAAACAGCTGCAGTACATTCAAAATGCAGCAGCTCGAGTCCTGACTAGAACCAGGAAGTACGACCACATTAGTCCGGTCCTCAGGTCTCTGCACTGGCTTCCTGTGGCTCAGAGAATAGACTTTAAAAACAGCTCTGCTTGTGTACAAGTCTCTCCATGGCCTCGCACCAAAATATATTAGTGACATGTTAGTCCCATATGAACCAGCCCGGACTCTGAGGAGCACAGGGACTGGACTCCTGTTAGTGCCCAGAGTCAGAACTAAACATGGGGAGGCTGCTTTTCAGATTCATGCTGCTAAAATCTGGAACAATCTTCCTGAAGATGTGAGACAGGCCTCCTCTCTGACAATGTTTAAAACCAGGTTAAAAACGGTGCTGTTTAGCTGTGCATACAACTGAGGGATTTTATATTTTTATCTTTTTTTTAATGTACTGTGATTATTTATGATTTTAATGCTTTCTTGTTTTGTTCAGCACTTTGAATTGCCTTGTGTATGAATTGTGCTATACAAATAAACTTGCCTTGCTTTGCCTTGCCTAAATAGTAAGTTTTATGTGTGGGATATTCACGGCAAACATCAATCACACAAGACAAAACCCACACTAAAAGATAAGTATTTCAGTAAACATGTTTTGGTCCCATGACATGTTTACACGCCCAGTGTATCCACAGTGTAAACCTACCTCAGTGAACCATTTAGTCCTCTCAAATTATACTCCTTCTCCTGTCCCACATTTGTGTTCTACTAAACCGTAAACAAAGAAAATGGCAACTTCTGAAACACAGCTTTCAACTTCCCTGTTTTGATACAGTCGGGTCAAAAAACGGCAGAGGGATCTAGTTAGATAGCAGAGATAGCACAAGGGAAGAACTAGTCAGGCCACATGTGGCCCTAACCGAGTCACCATGTCATTGTGATTTTAGATTCAATCAAAAATAGAGGGAAAAGTACAATTGAAAGTTATCAATGAAAATTCATTGGATCAGGAGGAAGTAGCAGAATTTCTACAGGATTCACTTATCTTTTATTAAAATTGTTTAAATGTAGCCTCTGTATATTAAACCTAGGGAGACCTGGTCAAGAGCAGCTTGGTGTAGTTTATAATGAACAGTTTCAGTGGAAAAATTATAAAATACATAGCTATAAATAATTTCCACCTCAAGCGTAAAATCTGCACATTTCAGTTAAACACTCTTCAGTAACGATGGAACTGAGGGAGGCAGGAGGGGGCTCCTCTTGGATTGATATGACCCTTTCTAAGTAGTCGATTAGTAATCCCTTAGGGATTCAAACAAACTTTCTGTAGTGACATGAAGATAGAAAGATCCATTTGTCATAGAAACGTTCATAATGAGTTATCTAATATCTGTTATATTAAGTCCCCTCACTGGTAACGGTTCTTATCCATTGTTGTGTATATTTGTGCGTCGCTGGATCATGGAACCTTTGTTCCGCTCCTGCAGACACAACAGCATCTGCTCAGCATTTGGTGCATTTCAGTGGAAGACTAGGAGTAGGACTAAGGGCAAAGTAATGTTGTTATTCATTTCTTTGAAATTGACCTTCTCCTACTCCCAACAATTTTTTTGTTATGACCCAGACAAAGCAAATTTTAAAGTTCACACATATTGTAGTGAGATTATTAAATGTTGAACATCTCCAAGTTAAGAATCACTACTGCTTTTTTTTTTCTACTTTCAGACTTTGTCTCCAAACCTTGTGCTCAACCTCATCTTTTGATGGCTGTCTAAGCATGAGTGTCATCTGTAAAGAACCAATATTAGGTTTAAACATGTTCAGCCGCCGGAGTTTGAGGATGTCAACTCTGCTCATGAAGAGCATGAATCCTGAGTCACCACTTCATTTGAAATCTCTCCTGGATTTCAAGAGGATTGCAGGTTTTTTCTGATTAGTTCCAAAACTTTTATATTATAATTTTACATCTTAATATGTCTCTATTGCCCGTCTAACTGGTTATGGTCATAGGTCTCTATATAAAAAAAGCAAATTTTTGTGAGATCATGTCTGATCTCATAACAATTAACCTCATAAACTGATGGTCAGTTAAAAATAGAAGACAACAAAAGCTAAATAAAACTAGGAAAAGATGGGAGAGGATTAAACAAAACAAAAGTGGCCCGAGGAAAATCTTTTTGCAGGACTTCCTGCAAAATCTCCCAAATATCTTTAACTATACATAAAATGAAACCAAAAAGCATAACTAACCTCGTCATAAAGCCTGATGTCCACCCTGCACGAGTCTGTGGGCGGGAGCATCATGAAGCTCACGCAGCTGATTGGCCGAATCTCCAACACGGTCACACCTCCACTGCTGTGTTCTACGCTCCCATTGGTCGTGGGGTCTGCAGCGCTTTTCCTCCATTGGTGGTCCTCTCTGAGAAGGTAAAGAGTTTCCCTGGTGGCGAGGATGGTCAGTGGAGTCCAGAATTCCTCTAAGAAAACATTAGAGTCATGACACAAACTTCATTCCAAAAATCATGATCAATCAAACAGTAGTGATCTCAGAGGACATAACAAAACCATTGAATTTGCCAACACAGATTAGAGAATAAACAGTTCAATAAAACGATAAAAACAGAGCCATTGATTCATAAGGGGAAGATGACCAAAGTCCATAAATGTTGTCGAATGTTGCGTGTCCTGGATCATCACCACTGTCCTTTTAGTTAAACCACTAACAGTCCAACAGACCCTTCATCATCGGAAATGAAAAACTCTAAAAATGTAGGAAACCCGAGGGAGGTCCACATTGATGGAGGGAACTGCTCCCACGGACAGACTGGCTCTAGATCCAAGGCTACAAAACAAGGAAAAAGGCCATGTGGCGCAGGACTTGAAAAGAAACTTTAGCATTAACTTTTTCCTTCCTGCTTTGTCTCCAGACTTGTGGACCGTCAGGGTGCAACAGGGTCCAGAGTTAACCTGAGAATAGAAGTCCGACAGTTGTCCTTGTGGGGACCCTCAGATCACACTCATGGATTAAGTTTGTGACTGTTTGGGCAGACACATGCACAGTGGCCTGCTAGAGGTTATTTTTCAGGACTGGGGCAGTGAAATCTTATTCTCGATGCATAGAGAACCAGATAGCGGGTCCTTTGGGTTTTTTATTGGAGTTTTTCCATGCTAATGCAGGAGGGTCAAAAGACTGTGGTGATGATCCAGGATTCTTGACATTCAACAACATGTATGGACATTTATCATCTGCCTCTTATGGATTAATGCTCCATGTGTTTTATTAATCAGTGCATTCTTGTGTTTTAACTGTCATTCGGGGCAATACAAGAATACATTGGATTGAATTAAATACCGGTCCTACAGCTGGGTGTTTTTGCTTCCTTTAACCCTCTCCTGATCTCCTCTTGTACTGGCCGGTCTCCAGTTATGAATCATGTTGTGCAGTTTGCCATTGACATTTGCAGTTGATTCTCAGAAAAGGAAATGGATAACTTTTCTGAATTGATTTATTATGTATAGACATTTGAGCTCTAAAACATTTGGTTGTCATGTTGGTTTAAATCACCATTATTGTTATTTTAGCAGTGACATTTACAAACTCTACTTTAGAAAAAAAATCTTTGATTCATAGCTTGTCATTCTCCCTGTAATTACAAGTCGGGTCAAGACCGCTAGGAGGCCGTACAAATTGGTGCGGAGTCATGAACGTTTCACGACTTTTGCCCTAGAGACATGGGCAGATCTGGGCTTGTCACAGCATTTCAAATTCTTGCACACACACAATGCTACTTCGCAAAATTTTGGCTGAAATTCTCAGAAAATAGCTGTCAGAAAATAGCACAAGTTAAGAGCTGTGCAGGGATGTCAACTGAAAATCTGTGTGCTTATTTGGATGTGTTAGAACTCATCTGATTGCTTATGATTGTACTGTCTTTCACCATCCTGAGTTTTTGCTTTAAGGCAATGTCTCGGCCTACTTTACTTTTAATTTCCCGTCTTCACATCCTGTGCATGTGGCCAGAATACAGAGGCTTTGGCGATAGCATGATCCCCCGCCCTAAAATCTATTACGAAAATGTTTACGCTCCAGTTATTGCTATAGGGAGGAAAGGGCGGCTGCTGAGAGCTTATGGACATACCAGCCTGAGTTCAAGGTAGAGCATGAATGGAATTAGCACAACACTATGGATTACTCTATGGTCGCGTTTGGCTGACCCAATTCTTCACCGATAATCTCTTGAATTCAAGTATTTTTTTAGGATTTTAAAGTTAGAGTTTCAAAGTTGTAAATGCAATAGACAGAATTCATCAGTGGTCCCTGAAAAGTTTACGTTATGTATAATAACAACATGAAAAAAGAATTAAAAAATATTTTGTATTTATTGTATTCTTGAATCAGAATGTGATTTTGTTCTTTGCTATATTGCCCAATTGATATTTTCACAATAACCTATATTACCATTTATCTTGTGACAAACCAAACATGCAACAAACAAAAGTTGAAGTCACTTTTTCTCTATTCTACATGTAAACTCAAGGTGAGAGTCGCCTTTGTAATCAGAACACCAACCTCTGAAGCAACAACTGAGCAAATTGAACAATACCTTTCCATGCTGTATTGTGACATTTATATATATTACACAATACAGTTTCTCAAAGGGTTCATCTAAACTTGGCACATGGAGGACTAGTGAGGCTTTAACTAGGCGGCAGATTATACCATCGGACATGCTCCAGACAACAACCAACTATCGCAAATAAACTACCGTACACTGAACATGAACGAATAATCTCACCAAATTGGTTAGCCAATGTTAGCCAACAATAAATATTGGCTTGATTAGTAGACAACCCGAGGTATTGGACCTGCCATCTGTTTATTTCAATCTTTATAGCAACAGTGTGCTTAGATTCAATGGTGTGCTGAGATTTAGATTAATCAATGACTCTCCATTGCAAGTATGAATGTTGTTGTCACCTTGCAGGACAAAAGCCAGGATGTAGAAGAAGTGCAGCTGGCCTCCCTCCTCCTCCTGGTCCTGGATGTCCTCACACAGCAGTGGCCTGTGGAATCAAACACAGTTACGGTCATCCATCCCACAAATCTGAACAGGAGCAAAGCCACAGTGTTGCAGTAACAAAGGGAGTGTGGTGGCAGGAGCTGGTCTGTCTCACATGGAAACACTCCATCCAAAGACATGGAGGATGATAAGGGGAGGTGTAGGATGTAGGTGTAGGAGTGTTTTGGGTCTATGTCTGTCTTTGTGTTGAAGGAGTGAAGGGTTGGATCCAAATAAGAGTCTGCTTCATTTCTCAGCTTTTTGTCTGGGACTGGTGATTTCAGTAAAACTTCCCTCTACTCGACTGGGGATTACAGGGGAACAAAACAAGCTAGAAACATCATTATTTTTGCTGATGAAAGTAGAGAGTCCATTCATTCAGAATCTGGTTTCATATTTCAGATAGTACACAATATTCTGTGGGTCTAGAAAAAATTATAAAAATTATCGGAAACTCCTGGCACTATGGGAGTAGAGCCCTGCACTTGAGCCCTTGGCCCGAGGGCCCCGACGGCCCGACAGCCCGAGGGCCGGGCTTCGGGCCGATGACCGCATAATGACCTCGGACACGGGCCGGGCTCTTCATTTTCAGAGCGGCAGAATAGATTTACGAACGCACCCACTGAATATAGCGTTCTATCACGCTGTAGTGTTTGTTATTCTGTGTAGTGTTGTCATTGACGGGACATAGCGTTACTTACAGGTGTGTTGCAGCATCTGGGCATCATACAGATGCGGCCGTTCACTCTGCACCACTCCGCACACACAGAACTCATTGCAACACATCACTACCATGTATAACTCCGCCCTCTAGCTAAGTCTGCGTTCATATCAGTGCGCGGCACTATATACTACGCTAAAACATTGTTATGGGAGGTTACAAAAAAAAAAAAAAAAAAGGCGGGCTTGATGCGGGTTTCGGGCCTGAAAATTGAGAAACCATATCGGGCCGGGCCGGGCTGGGGCGCCACCCCCTCGGGCCAGGGCCGGGCTCGGGCCCAGATAATAGGCCCGTGCAGGGCTCTATATGGGAGTACCGGTTCTGAAATAGGCTGGCATGCAATGAGTTAATCAAACAATACACAAAAATGAAACCATTAATTAATTCAATAAATCAAGAAAAAATATTCGTAATGCCGTATGTACACCATATTTACAGCATGCTCCAGGTCTTTCCCGTTTACTTTTGGATGATTCGTTTGAATGCAGACAAAATATAACTTAAATACATTAAAGAATACATTAGAATAAAATCCCATAAAATTATAAATTTCAAGTATGCTTCAGTTAAGTTTCTAACGTGATCTGCTATGTCTGCAATTGTAATGATGAGGATTTAATTCAGAACGTACACATTTGAAACATGATAAAGTAATAAATTACAGGACTTATAACCAGACCAAAGCACATATATATTTATATATATTTTACATGTTTTACTGAAAGTTCACGCACAACAACTGTGAAGTGAAAGTAAATTCATGATTTGGTTGTTATTTTGCGAATAGAAAAGTGAAGTAGGGCGTGCACAAATTGCCTACAAAACATTCCTAATGACTGCTGAATGTTCACACCTTGCCCTGAGGAGGCCACCTGAGTGGAATCTACACTCGGTATAAATACAGCTGTTCTGTGAGGACCTCAGAACTATGGTTAGAGTGTATGGGTCACTAAACAGCATAATGGAGGCTAAAGAGCACATCAGAGAGGTCAGGGATATGGTTGTGGTGTAGATTAAAACAGTGTTAAAATTTCCCAATAACTCATAGAGCACTGTTCAGTCCATCATTTGGAAATGGAAAGAGCACCAAGACACGAACCTCACATTGCTTATTATCCTGAGTGCACCATTGCCCAGTGTCAAATATGGTGGGGGTGCATCATGCTATGGGGCTGCTCCTCAGCGGGGACAGAGAAGATTGTATTTGGCTTCTTCCTAGCTATTCTTACAGTGTGTTTTTGTCTAAGGATATTGTCCAGCTGGCAACGGCCCAGTCAGGTGGAAAGACCAGAAAAACGCTTTACATGAACGCTCTCTATCTGATTTGACCGAGCTCCAGTTGTTTTGTAAAGAGGGATGGGCTAAACTTTCTGTCTCTAGATGTGCAAATCTAGAGACACACCCCAAACAAAGACTTTCTGCTGTTATTGCAGAAAAAGGGGGTTCCACAAAGTATTAGCTCATACTGTATGAATACTTGTGTAGGTCCAACTTTTCGGTTTTCTATTTTTTGAAAAATAACTGGAAAAATGTGGAAAAGTTCAATGTGTATTAATACTTTTGCAAGGCATGGTAGGTTTCAAAATAATAGGAGCTTTCTAGCAGTTTCTTATAGTAGTCTAGTTTGACGATTGAGATTGTACCTTTGCATAATAACATGGCATGTAAACAGTTAGCTTGTTTACAAGCGTGGCAATGCCGAAAAGAGAGGTGACAACAGGCGAGACCGCGGGGAGATGCCAGCATTCAAAGCAGCGCACATGTTGGAAATTAACATGTGGTTTCTCGGCTAATTTCGCTGAGCCCTTTTAAGAAATCAACTCTGATTGCAATCATCCAAAGATGTGTCAGTTGTGCCGAGTCAGAGCTACAGTGGCCATTTCTCTAGCACCTTGTGATCGCAGGACTTTACTCGGCATAAACGGATAAAGGTTGTGCGTATTGAAATGTGTCTTTCAAGAGGGGAGGGACAGGGGACACGTACCAGAGGTGGTGCTGGGGGCTCAGACGGGTGGTGGAGATGGACTGCAGCTTGCTGTCCGATTTGTGGGCCATCTCCCGCACGATTCCTGCACAGAAGATGGACATGCCAACAAAGTCTGATAGATGATGTTCATAGCAACAGATACTTTGTGAATCATGATTATATTGAAACTATTATATGACGATGATAAGAGTAGGATCCATTAAGTGAACAATTTTCAATCTTTCATTATTTGTTTCAACTATTGCCTTTAAATTATAAACAAGTGACTTATTTCACCCTCTTATTTCTCACCAAAATATAGATGTGCTTTGATATCAATGTGTATTTCAGTGCGCGGAGATTATCTTTGAAACAAATAAATGGAAAATTCAAAAACATGTGCAAACCAGAATATCAAATCTTTTGTATAGAAAGAGACTTACTGAACCAATACAAGAACCAAAGAGAGTGAGTGTGCTTTTTAGTGCTCTGTTGTACAGTATGTGTGAGGGGTTGGAGCCGAATAAGCTGCAAAAATGCCTATTTAAAACCATTTCTGTGTGATCATACAATCACAAAACAAAATGAAGCATACGCAGCAGCATTGATTTCTTAGTTTAGTCACAACATTTATTGATGACCAAAATATGCCTCTTAAAAGGCCTACTTCACACCAGCCACCAGTTAAAATTACAGCCGCAACTTGTGGTTCTAATTACCAAATCTAACTCAACTACAAAACAAAAGGCCCACAACACAAAACAATCTCGTTTGTGAGTCTGAATCCAAGTTAACGCGAGTGTGTGCGTTTGAATAAGAGTTTCTAACTGAATGTGAATGCACGCCTAAACTCGAGTGTACGTCTGGTGACAATGTGTGAGAAGACATGCTTGTTTAGACAGCTGCAGAGGTGCACAGCTGTGAGAGTGAATGCCTGATGTGTCAATATGCCCGCTCTGATTATGAGTCTGAGGAGGCAACACAGAGCAGACTGTGCCACGGTTTGGACTTGGGAATAAACATTGGGAAGATTCTGCAGAGCCATGTGAGAGAAGCAAAGTGAGATGGAGAGATGGTATAATTGTTGGAATAGGTTAAGGAACCCCATGTTAGGAGAGGGAAAATCATTCAAGGTGTAAGTGAGGCTGAAATCTAGGATCACTGTGAGCTTGTGCTAGATACAGGACAGGGCAATGGGTCCAATTAAACTGGTGGTTGGGTGACAACAGTGGGAAATCAGAAATAGCAGATGTGTTTTAAGCCGTCTGTGCTGGTGCACATAGATTTCAACAGTAACCTTGGATCTCTGGAAGTACAGTTGGGTGGAAAAAATCTGCAGAGAGTTTGGCAGGACTCTGCAGAAGTATGGTGATTAATGTAATATTCTCACAATAACTCATGCAGCGATTTGACTACTGTCAGAAAAACAGACTGAAGTCTACTCGATCTAAAAATGTGTTTCACATGGACCCGGAAACAATGTACGCCAAGCAAACAGGTCATTAACATGTTCCTCATCAGGAACTTCGTGGCTATGAGAACAAGTATAACAACTACAATAATAATAGTGAACTTCCTGGTTTTGGGAGAGCACTGCAATACTGTCCCCAATACTCACACCACGCCTGCCATTTTAATGTCAATTTTCTTGCTCATTGTACCCCTCTAAAATCCAACTCTGCAATACTGGTTTAAATGGCATGTTTCTCAACTGTTGAGTAAAAGAATGCATGAGATGTGATACATTTCACTGGAAATGGATCCTTTCAAAGACACAGTGGCCTAAAAAAGTCCCGCCCCGACATTCACTGTAGAGAGGACGGGAGGCATTGTCCCCACGATTAGGGAAAGCCAACAGGTCTCTGGTGTCAGTGTAGCGTTTCAACCCTATACAACCAGCGGCTGAGAAAATGTCTACCGCACAAAGCTTTCCCCCATTGCAGGCGTGTCATTGATGTTGACAACAAAACACAAGGCCTCGATATGTGGCGTTTGGCTTCCGAGTGCGCAGAGAAAGGATGGGCTTTAGAACATTTAAATGGACGCTTTAAAAGCACATAGAGCAAAGGACATAAAGTTTAAACACATCTTGTGAAGATTGGTTTGCATGTGGATGACATGTTTCACTAGCAGCAACATTTAACATTTAGGTAAAATATCAATGTACAATATTTTATATAAAAAGTAGTAACGTGATCATGAATTGGAGAAATGTCACCGCGCAAAAAGAGCAGTTTTTCTTCAGAAATTGTGTTCATGGAATGCATGAACTTAATTGTTATTGACCAACACTAATAAAAAAATCAGGAAAAGGACTTTCAAAAACCAATAAGAGGAAAGCAAATAAAGTTCAAGTCCTAGAAAGCGGGTCTGAGTTAAAATAATTTGAGAAAGTCAAATAAAAAAAGCATAGTGTATTTTCCTATTCAAAGCGATAAAAAAAGTGAAGGAACTAAATTACCCACATGTTTTCAAAATAGCATAAAAAATATGTATCACCAAGTCATAAAAGTCCTTAATGGGTTTTAAACCTCATTCAAGCTACATTCAGCCAGGACAAGAGGGGGAACAAAGTGGTGAATTAAAAAAAGAAAAAAATATGTTTCAATACATTTTCCCAGGCCTGCAGCAGAGACAGATTTCAGTTGTAAAAACCAATGTAGACAAGAGTGGGTGATGGCGCGGTCATTTTGGGTACCCTAGAATTAAAATCCACCCACGCAGTCTCGCCTCCCATGTTAGACGCAGGCACTTTCCTACGAGGTGCCAGTCCAGATTGTAATCAGAAGCAAACATGGCACAAGTTTGTAGCCTGCCTACGCTGCTGTATATCAACATATCTCTTGGTTTTCTCTGCTCCCAGACTGCTTGGCTGGGTGCTGCAGTTAAAATCACGCACATTCGCTCTTCATTGACAAATCATCAATGGGAGATTTTTCCCCAAAAGCCTTGTGTATCATGTGGATTTCGAGTTGCGTCAGAGCGTGGACCACATCCTCTCTGCGTTCGCGTTCCCAGCCTACGTTGCACTGTCAGTTATTCTAGCCGTGGTTAGCAATGGGAGCTGGTTCAAAATCTGGTTTCTCGACTTTGAAAACATTACAGCTGTTTTTGGAGCCCAGCAATTGGGATGTTTTTTTCTAGTCACTTGAAAGGGACACGTTTTAATTGTTCAAAAGTTCTGGTGTGAAATGTTCTTGTTGTTTGATACAAAATGTTCTGTCGCGGTCAGCGGAATGAGAGGCTGGTAATCTCATCAAAAGTTTGTTTTTAAGCCTGCGCTAAGTAACCAAGGCCCCCTATAGTCAAAACCCAATTATTTTCCTTTTTAATGAAAACATGATCCAAGCATTTGGACTGATAGAGGTGGTTGTTTGACGCACCATCAATAACTTTTCTATGGAAAAGGAATGCTTTTAAATTATTATACTGTAAGCAGTATGGGTCATTTGGCCATGGAAAGAAGTCCTGAATATGACTCCTGAGAAGTAAAAAACTTCAATAAATCTAAATACAAGCATGAATGTGATCTAATAATTCTATATAGCCTTGCTGATAGTTACATGTAGTAACATGTAGTAACCTTTTGTATATTTGGCATTGTATTTAGGGTTGAAGTCGAAACATGTTAATCTGTTAGAACGGCCCAGTCGAAGTCCAAAATCCACCTAAATTCAATAGAAAATCAGTGGAAAGACCTGAATAATTAAGTATTAACTCATGCTGTAGGTATACTTTTCTATTATCTGAAAAATAATAATAATAATGAGTCTGTAACTTGTGTGTGAACATATTTTTGTCTATGATTGTAAACATGACATAATGTGCAACATTTCAAGATGCATTAATACTTTTGCAAGGCACTGCAGTTATTCCTTTTAATAAAGTTCAATTATGTAGAGAGTAGAAATAAAATAAAGAGTCCAACAATCACTCCATGTTTACTGCATTCACTGTATTCCTTTGCACATCTGACAAGTTTACAGTTATCATTTGACTTTTCCTTATGACAAAACCAATCCCATTACTCCTCTGATTACATTACTACTACAGTGGCACAGCTTTTCCACAATGCTGCCGCTACGCATTTCCCCTCTGTGCATCTAAAGAGGGGGGTGGTTGGATATTGTTAAATCCATTTTCCATATTGTGTCCAGACATTCCAGGAGGTGCACGGGAGCCCCTGGTCTAATAAAAGCTTTCCCTCTGCTTTCCTCACACATATGAACACAAGCAGTAGAAGTTGTAGAAGTACTTGGTTGGGTCCATAGGAAGTACACACTGTTCCTGTCCTGGCCTTCGGGCTCAACATCACTCTATAACTTTAATTGGGGCAAATTAGTGCAGGGATTATTGAGTGGAGCGTTCTCCTTTGAGGGTTTGGAGGTGAAACAACAAAAGAGATAGAAGATATTAAGCAATAGAAACATATACATAATAACTATAAACATGTAAAAGCCTTCAGTATGTAAAAATGTAAACCAATTCCCATATGGTAAGGATAAGTTCATTAAATGCAATAAAACCTAGGATGCATTTTGGCGTCTTCTGGTGGTAAGAGTGTGCATTACATTCCTATACATCTGAAGATTATGCATAGACTTCTTTCATTATTATAACATTTTAATGAAACTTTTAAAATGAGCCACAGGTGTCACTATAGGAGGCAGAATCACATTATGGGGCATCCAGAGCTCCCATGTGTGCTCTCGCAGATAAAACTAAACCACAAAAAATGCACCCACTATTTGCTCCTGGATTGATAAACAACTTCTTTAAATATTACAGAACATCTGGCGTAAAAAAAGAAAAAAAACACAGTAAACTTAAATAATATCCAAGATGTGCAAGAGAAACACAGCAGGACACGACGGGTGCACGCTAACCACGGAGCCAGTGCTGCCCCAATCGTATTTATGGACTGAGTGGAACACTGCCGTCTAACTTAATGAATGGAAAATCCAAACTTTAATCTAATTTCCTCTAATCTAATGCAGCACTGTTCCCTCAACCGCCCTTTTCCCTGATTACCTGTGAGGCGTCCAAAGAAGCTCTTACAGCGAGCACTGTCCCGGACCAGTAGGGTGTAGGCCGCCAGCCCCTCTCCAAACTCCAAGTGGATGCACTGGGAGCCCAGCCCCACCTCCAGGTAGCTCAGCTCGAGTATGGGCTGACTGTCCCGTTTTATCAGCCAGTCACACAGCTGACCCCTGCTGCGAGGAGGACACACACATGGCATCAACATACACTACATTATAAATTATATTTCATTAAACTACTACCTGTGGTTTGTTTTACTATTACATGTAATAGTAATACGTGGCATATTATTAGAACAATGTAGTTGCTGAAGTCCTTGAAAGTTGAAGGATTCTGTGTCAAACATTTCAAATAGATGTATTGATTTTGAACTGCAACAATAGGAGAGGGCATGCAGGAGGACGAGGGGATTGCAGAGCGAGTGGTCACAGCAGGAGTGTACTGGTTTAGGAGCAGACTCAGGGTTGGACATGTGCAGCGGACACTTTGAGGTCAACATGTTCTCAAGATGTGACCCAGAAACCACCCAGAAAGTTTGGACTTTCACAGCCCAACAGCTCAATGAACAGTGTCAAGGTAAGATACAGTTACTTGAATTGCAAGCATTTGTCAATCAAGGGAATGTTTATATTAGGGCTGTCAAACAATTTTTAATCGAGTTAATTACAGCTTAAAAATTAATTAATTGTAATTAATCGCATTTCGAACTATTGGAAAAATTATGCCAAATTTTTCTGTAAATGGTTGTTTGAATGGAAAGATAAATGAAAACATAGTGTACATATGTGCTGTATTTGTTTATTATAACAATAAATCCACATAAAATGGCATTAACATTATTAATATTCTGTCTTTCTGTGACTCGTATCAAAACTATTGTTTGTTTCAGGGATGAGGGACATTTCAAAACAGTCTGAGGCAGAATGTCATCACATCTGTTTGATTTGTTCACAATATTTTACTTTTGGGCACACCAAACGAACTGGAAGTGCAAGGGGAAAATTAGGTACCCCAGCTTTAATTTAGCGAGTGCACTTTGGGAGAAGACACGGAGGAGACTGAGGCTCCATAGTCCAGCTTCAGGGGTGCATATAATGTGTGCACAGGTTACGCAAAGACACGCACACTACAAGCAGAGACAAGTTCTGTGCGTGGTCTTGGATATGACGTTCCAGCGACGCCGTTTGCCGTGATCACAGCCGCTGGAGGAACCGCTGCTCAGAGCGCCCGCAGCTCAGCTCGCAGAGTTCATACAGGAAACAACAGCATGTGTCCGCGGCACTTCTGAGTGTTATTATGAGATGTTTGGGCTGGTCATTCAGTACGTTCTTCGATTAATGAAAAAAATGTATGCGTTAATGCAATAATTTTGACAGTCCCAGTTCATATATTTCTAGTCATCTTAACTTGCTATAATGTTGCTTTTTGCAGTGACTGCGAGGAACAGAACGAAAACACTCTGTTCCTTACAGAGCAGTAATAATAAAATTAAACAGTTTTGAGGATTACACGATGTAACCCATCAACGGTTGGGAGTCCAACTAAACCCATGTCTTTAATACAAAGACTATACATTTTAATTGAGGTTTGATGTTGCGTAAAATTTATTTATGAGAAACTTGGGTTTACTAAGCTAGCCTTTTTGACCTCACCAGACTTTTGTTTTATGACAAAGATCTGGGAATTCTAAACCTTTGCACAAAACCCGCAATTATTAACAAAGTAATCCTTTGAAAGGTGGTGGCTTTACATTCAGAATCAGAAATCAGTGTTAGCAACAGCTTCATAACAGCCCACTGTTACCAAAACACACTTTCCCATAAATAGTTTTGATTAATCCTATTTCAAATCAATAATTTAGAAAACAACAACTTAATCACGAGCAGTACCACCACATGAACAGGCACTAAATGATGCATTTGTTAAATTTGACAAAATTGGGATAATTTTATTCATTATGTTGTCCTTAATATTTTTGTGTGTCTGAGAACTACAGTATTAAACTTTACATTTGTGGGGAGAATAAAATGGTTTGATTATCTGATCTGCTGTTGGGGAATCAACAAATTCAAACTGTGTAGGCGAATGTCAGCTCTGGTCAGTGTGTGGTGAATGTGGTGTGTGCCTGTGTGCGCGCGTGTGCCATTGGATGAATGTTCATGTAATAATTTCTTACTTGGTCATTTCTCTGATGAATGAAAAACTTTGTCAAAGAAAGCTGTGAACGCAGTTTGAGCATCGTTTTGCGTACATTATTTTTACAAACGAGCCCCAGATGGCTACTTTAAAGCTGCTCTGTGAAAGATCTGGACGATGGATTACACTACTTTATTCTGAAGGTGTAACTTTTATGCTTCCAGAAATGTTCACTTAAAGCAATAATCAACTTACAACAATTCCCACGGAATTTATGGATGCTTGTTTCTTTTTGCCGCTCACCTTATATGCCCCCGTCAAGTAAAAGCTTTTCTGTGTGGAGTATGCATGTTCTCTGCGTATATGCGTAGATTTCCTCCAGGTGCTCCGGTTTCCCCTACTACTAAAAACGTGTATAATAAGTCTGAATGTAGTGAGTGAATGGATGGTGCAGTTTGGGGGCTTTGATGCCAGTGTGTTAGGCGTCTCACTTCCATCATGACCGTGCGGAGATAATGGAAAAATATATTAACTCTTGTTGTATTACTCTGTTATGAAGAGCTGTGGATGACTTTGGTCTGTAAAATGTGCTATATAAATCAAGCTTACTTACGACAGAGATGTGTCATATTGTACTTACTGTGCGTCAGAAGTCATTTCTAAGAAGTATATTCTCAGGTTGGACACCACCAGCAGAGTCGGCACTTCCCCTGGCTCTCCGAATTTGACAGAAGACATCTTGGAAGGATAGAAGTTACATTTGATTAGAGCTGCTACACGGAGACGTTTTTAAATGACTGTTTCAACATTTGGACATGTTCTTTGGAGGGCTGAGAGGTGAGGAGTGGGACACGTAAACACGGCCGTCTCAGATGAATGGAGTTGAGGTTTTTTAGACGGACAATTGGATAAACTCTGTGTCGGGAGCCAGAGAACACACACGTGGAGGAGCAGGAGAATGAGAGTAAATGGGTAGTCATGGAAAGTTGGTCACTGTGGTCTTAACGATGGCAACGTGACGGTACGTATAACGGCACAGGTAAAGCAAGGAATGCAGTTGTTCTACGTCTAAGCATCTGGGTATTTCCATCGATTGCTAAAACTCTTCCAAAAGCACTAATACAACTTCCACCTTTCCATATTTTGTCACGTAAGTAAAGCAAAATGATACATGTAAGTTCTTTGCGGTCACAACAAAAAAAATTAGTACTTTTGAAATCTGCTGTACAGTATTGTTACTTGATAAAATATTTAACACTAACTGAATAATAACTGAAATAAATCAATCTATTGCTTTGTATTATTGAATGAATAAAACATACAGTACATGGAAAGAACATTACAGAAATGTTTAAATCAAATGGTTAATTAGGCTTTACAGAGAAAAAATAACCCACATAGAAAAAAGTATTTCTCGTCTAATACATTAATCTACGCTTCACATGAGGCAAATATAAATGATACTTTAGCCGTTTGCATACAAGGTCATGATTACGATCCCTCAATATTACTCCATAAGGGGATATGATCTGCTTTGTTGGGATTTTCTAATTTGTGAAAGGGGCTGACAAAATAAGATTTTATTATTTATTTTGTGACAGGACTAGAATTATTTGAGATGTATTTGTAATGTTATGCATCGTCATGTCCACAATTTAAATAAATAAATATCAGGAAGTTGTGTCACCATAAAACTACGGGTATTTTAACTCAAAAGTATCTTTTACCTCCAGCAACATCAAAAAGTAAAAACAAAAATACTTATGTCTATCTTTATATTGAATTGCATTGTCGTTTTTTTCTTCTTCCCACTCCTTCGAGTATCTGCAAGTGTTTTATATATGTAATATTTATAATTTTGTAATATGTAATCTAACTCAGGGTTATTTATGCACAATTTTGATATTCTACTTTTGTTTCTTGTACACTTGTTTGCTCAAAATAAACATGGCTTAATAATAATGCCATGACGCACGAGTTAGAGTAATTTAACAACATATGGACCTTCTCCTGCAAGTTTGAATTCTTAGAGAGGTTTAGTACTAGAAAAGTGCACCCGAATATCAAATTTAACATGTCGAGAAGTAGTTAAAGCCTCAAAAATGCATAGCGCTGGATCTATAAATATACAGACACAAATTGTAGCCAACATTCCACGCTTCACCACCTACAGTAATCCTCTGTGAAAGACGTAAACAACATTTTTGACCCTGATCCAACCTGTTTACAGATGCTGAACAGATTGTTATAATTTACACTACACATTTAAATCTTACTACTCCTGTTGTATATGTACTCCACATCCGAACATTACAGGGAGGCTGCGTGCTTGCCGATGTCTCTTGCCCCGTCAAACTTTTCTGGCTTTGATTTCCTATTAAAAAGAATCCACTCGATACAATCTGAGGCCTTTGTTCTGCATCGTTAGCCCAAAAAAACAGCAATAATTCTCCACCCAGAGAAATCCATTGTAAGGGCTCTATGTCTTAAAGCCAGGTATTAACCAAGAAGCCTTTCTCCCTCGAGCGAAAAGGTTTTTACAAGGTGAGCTACTGGGAAGCATCCTCAATCACTGGCCACATGCGAGGGAGCAGGCTTCTCTAATGCCGTTAAATCAGCCGTGGCTCATTGCTTTGGAGCTGGCATGTTGGTGAAATAGTTGGGTGGGCTGGTCAATGATAACAAATGTGTTTTAATTGTTTTATATGTGATATTTGAGGGACATTTTTATACATTGGTTCAACCTAATAATATTCTCAGAACTGGGGCTGGCTAGATTGGGAATAAGAGGGGGAAGATAAGATTATATAGACCTTGAGTTGATCCACAGTGGGGAAATTTTAAACGTTTCAAAAGTTGCTGACATTACAGCAGAATATATAAGGAGGAGATGAGAAAAAGTGTGTTTGGCTGAATGACACCTCTACTGAAGGGACGAATAATGGTTTATCTTATCAGTGGGAATGAGCCTACTGATTGCGCAGGTTCAACATGGCATGTACTGGAGAGTGGTGATGGCAGAAAAACATGAATGAAGTGAAAAACAACTCCTGAACGTTGGAAACTTAGGCTGAGTTTACACGGAGACAATGTGACAGTAAAACGGTATAGTTGGATGTCGGTTGCTACCAACCGTTCATACGAAGACTGTGTTCCAGGGGGGTGAAAACGTAAGTGTTCAGATCCAGCCTGCAGAGTGGGACAACTCAGAAACGCTGCACAGCAGGGAGTTCTTTCACACCCGCGAGAGGGAAAAAGGTGTGAAATCCCCCTCTGCTCTGACCCCCACCTCAGCGCTGCTCCCCGCACGTAAATTTGGACATGCGCAGTAGCGGAGAACAAACATAAACAATAATGGCGCTGCCCACACAAACTAGCTACGTGGGCTTCCAGCGCGGGACAGAGGATAATTCTACTCCTTCGTTCGTCCAAACGAGACCACGCGAAGCTCTAGGTTCAGTTTCCATTTTCACGGCTGCTGTTAAAATGCAGATAGATGTTGGTGCGTTCTGAGGGTCTGGCACAGGAAGTGAGTTCACTGCCGAGAGGGGGGCTGGGCACGGGGCTCGGGGTCGTGTGTCGTGTTGTAAAGTTCTCTGCCCACTACTGGCCGGGCGCTAGAACTACATCGTTTTTCAACCTCATGTGAACGCTGAGAAATTTGCATTAGGAGCCAGGTTGTTTCTGTTAATAGCCTGGAAACGTCTGCGCAGCGTCTCAGTATAAACAGGGCCTTAAAAGGTTTGTTGAGCATTTGCAATCTTTCGGGTTAGGGTTAGGGATGTTTTGATAACATGCTATTTGCAGAAATTGTATGCTGATCTCTGGGTCCAGCAGATCAACCCATTAAGGCCCGACACACCTGGTAAAACAGACCTGTAAAACCTACAGCCGACTTAAACCACCCTCCAAAACCAGTTTTTCTTGAAATTCAACGTCTACTAAATGATTGATATCTCTGCCTCTGTAGCAGATAGAAACATAATTTCAAAATAATTTGAGAGCTGACACTCGTGGCTTTCAATAAGAATACAGTGTATTATTATAACCATTCAGTAGAATAATACAAAAAATATACAACTTCCACACAGGAAAGGTAATAAAACAACCAAAAATTATGTGAGCGTAACGCATGTTTCTCAATACAAATAGTCAAAAAGAGTTTGGGAATAAAGTAGCACTAACTGTATGGAAAAAAATATTAAAAAGTCCACTCTCAACCCAAAAAAGTCAAGTAATGACTCACAGGGCTCTTAAGTAAGCAAAATAAAAAACAAAAACACGACTGCTGTGGTCTGTTTTGTTCACTGTTACGGACTAGGCCCTTATGGGGGTCCGGGGACTGGCCCATTTCTCCGTCCTGCCGCTCCTCTCTTGTCTGCCCAGGGGGACCAATTGGCGCTGAAGCAGTGGGCGTGTTCGCGCATGCAATCAGTGCACGCGCATATAGCCTGGAGGCAACGTGCACGCGCTCTCTCTGCGCGCTCCTGAGGGCCATTCTACACCTGTCCTGGTGCTGGACGCATCTCCTCCCTGGCTCTCCTTCAACATGCACTATTAAGTTTGTCTTTTGTTTTATGCACCCAGATTCACATCGCACATACGACACCCTCACTGCACACAAGCATTACCTGCACCTACACCACTGACTTCTACACAACACACCCCATACTTTACCTTTTTGTATATATTAATATTTGTTATTCCGTTTACTCAATTAAATATACTTTGTGAGCACTTAATTCCGCCTCGTCTCCCCTATTCTTGTTGTGGCTCAGAGCCAAGCCATAACAGAATTGGGGGCTCGTCCTGTTGAATCCGCGTTTTTGAGTAGTATTAGTCTAATTTGGTATTTTTCCGTCATTCCTTTTGGATTTGGTTTGAGCGCTTTTACTTTTGTGCACAAATAACATGCATTGTTAAAGCAAGCGAAAATTTTGGTATCTGAGCTTTAATTCGGTGAGTTTTGGCTGCGCTTCGTGAGGAGACTTGGGAGACGGGAAAGAGACATGGGGGAGACCTGGGGGAGACATGGGGAGAGACGGGGGTGGCAGGCAAGACCCGCACGTGCAACAAGCTGGGGATGATCCTGATCGCGTGTTCTGTCCGCGGTACAAGACCACGTTACGGCTGTGCGTTCGCTGAGCTGAGCTTGGCCACAGTTACTCCCGCGGTCACACATTTCACATAAATGATATTTTCAGCGAGAATAAGTCGGAATTTGCGGATCCGCAGATAATTCTCATCACAGGTATATTTTGATGCATTTCATTGGTCAAGAGAATTGATCAATGAAGAGAATAGGTCCAAAAAAAAAAAAAAAAAACCCTTGTCCGCTTTCCTGGCCTTAAAGGTAGAAGTGCGCAACAGCGCTCCCGGCTTGAAAGGTAAAACCGCGAGAATGCGTTCCCGGCCTCAATGGGTTAATGTACCTTTAAAAACGAATGTAGCTCCTCTTCCTCCTCAAAAACCTCCACATCCAAGTAGAGCTTGAGCCTATGATCCACCACATCAAAGTCTTCAGAGCCCAGGTCCAACTCATCTAGAAGTAAAGGGGGACATTTGTTGACATAAAATCAGCAAAAAATACTCACTGTCCTCACGCGATAAGGCGCATGAATGGTGAGCCATAGTTTCCTGGCAGCTGCCCGTCTCATTTTTTGGCCGTAACTAAAAATCCTGAGTGTAGTTTTACAGCATAGAGTCGCACCATCAGCCAACAACCCCACATTTAGAGCAATAAATCGGACCCAAAGGGTTATTTTAGCATTAGTGATGAATAGGTGCAGGTAATGGGAGCTGACAGTACACAGGCGCAAAGAACTCAATGACTTCACAATGAGTGTGAAGAGGAAAATGACCTTTGTACATGTTATGGTGGGAACTGGATGTTAGACACAACATGGAGAAAGAAATGAAGCAAGAGAAAGGGATTCAAAACCATAGCTGATGCGGTTAAAGAAAATCTGTTCGGAGTCACCAAAGTCAGCATTACCTGTACGTCGATGCCATTGCCAACATTTACTTCACTGAAACAACCTGGCTAAACTAACATCCAAACTTCTCTTAGGAGAGGGAGAGGAGCTGGACAGTTTTCCTCTTTATCAGAGATTGAGATAGGACAGATTTGCATGTTTTTGGAGGATTGGGATGAGAGATTGATAGCCATATAGGTCTACCGAAATTTAAAGTTTTTGAAAAATCATTGGTTTTTGGCCTTTTATTTTATCTACTCTCCTTTCCCTTTGGTCCAGTTCTGATTATGCGCTCATTTTGTTCAGAAAACCCAAGCAAATGATAATATCCAAACCCATCTTCAGTAGAAGACCTCTATAATGTAAAACACATAAAAAGGGACATACAAGTACTGCGTGTTTTTTTGGTTTTCTTCTCTTTAAAGCGAGCAAATTCACATTAATATCCATCAAGGCATTATGCAACCTAAAGAAATCCTCACTGATGACTAGCACATTAGAATTGTCATTGTATCAGCAAGCCAGTCAAACTTTTAAGAAATCTGCATCGGCCCGAGAAACCCTGTATCAGTCCAACTATAATTGGACGAGGGAGGGGAAGAAATGTGGTTCCAGAAAGTGAAACTGTCGCTTTAAGGTACAACAACGCAAACGAAACTTGGATCTTGCAGTATTAATTAGTATTTGAAATTAACATTACAACCAGTTCATGGTTTTACGATTTTAGTCCTTTGGCAGATTTCTTGTCATATCACCATACGTGTACAGGAATGACATTTTCATTGGAATTAGTGGCCAATAACACATAAGCTCATAGGAATGCTTTCAATGTTTGGCCCATATCAGAGAACTTGACCGTTTCCACAACACCAGCATATTTAGACAATTCAGTCATGTACATAATCTATATTTTACTGCAGAATTAATCCATTTTCACACTGTTCCACTTACATTCAAACCCAAGCACCCCAAAACTCAAGCTCCAACTGACTCCATTTTCTTGGCCGGGATGTCTAATTAATTGGCCAAAGTGTTCGATAATCATTTCAGCGTTACACTTTTACACGAGAAAAAGCCGTGATTTGGCAGGACATGGTAGGCTGGAGACGAGCCCAAACGGCAGTAAAAAATAACTGCGATTTTATTAGCGTTTACGGCCCGATCCTTGTGTTCCGTTTGCTATACAGCGAGAGAAGCTTCGATTGTGGGAGAAGCGCTTTTTACGCTGGTGTGTGTCGTCTCCGGGACAAAGGCTCTTAATTGAATTTGAATGGGGAGAGGAGCTGGCAAAGCGGAGCTGCTGCGTCTGTCTTTGCCACATCTGCCTGTAGCCTGTGCCGCGTTTAGCCAAACCGCATGCTAACAGATTGGAGTCATTACTGGAAGCACTGGGAGAGGAAAGAAAGCCGAGTGTAATCACGGGCCTCCTGCGTTCTTCCTTTTTCTGTAGTTGCACTTTAGAAAGTCCCGGCTCAAATCGCTCCAAATGACACTTAATAAATCCAAATCTTAGTTTGAGGGTGAAAGACTTTCTCTTGAATGGCATGCGAAACAGGAATATTATTGCCAAGATTTATGTATTAGTGCTGTCAGTTAAACGCGTTATTAATGACGCTGACGCAAACCAATTTTAAATGTGTCAATGTTTTGGTATCGCACATTTAAAAGGGAAAGGTGCCCTTTATTAATCCCCGTAGGGCAATTCAATCCTCTGCATTTGACCCATCCTGATGCCGCTAAGGCTTACGTCAGGAGCAGTGGTCGCCGTACCTCAGCCTGACCACTAAAATGTAAACACATTCTAAGACATTTGCATCCATTGTATTTCTGTAAAATGTAACAATGCAACAATTCCGGTTTTGGCTCTGTATTAAAATGTATATCTGCAGGACTAAATCCCATGGAAATAAAATGTTTAACTACAAACTGTTTCACGATCATCCAGATTTTGTTTTGGTTTTGCATTATATCTTGCCTTGTGCCCATTTTGTCTATTTTGGCCAAGTTGACCATTGGACTGGAGATACTGTATATGTCAAAGCACCTTCTGGAGAAGTCCTCCCTGAGAAGCACAGCGACAGCTCTGCCTCCATAGCCTGAGTGTGGGTGTATCGATAGCTCCCAGCCAGCCCCTCTTTGCTCTCTGTGGCGTTTGAGGGGCTACACTGCTCCTCTGGACTCCCTCCGATGTAGAAGGAGCTCGCTGCAGTCATGAAGGTGGAGGTTGGCTCATCTGTAACGTCTGTTCCGTTCAAGTGGAGGCTGGAGTCAGGCATGACCTCCTGGAAATCAGATCAAAAGATAATGTTTAAAGTAGCAATATGTAAGATTTTCATGTCAAGTCATCATTAAATGGCCCTAATCTGTCAAAAGGCTTTAACAAACCATGTTCTTTTAACAATACTTCTTTAACTGATAACAATAGTTCAGCCGAGATATTTGGATTTCAAAATTAATTTTACAGCCCCCTTGTTATCGTTTTCATTTCAATGTCCCGCCCTCCACCGTTTTACCAATCAGAAAGTCTATGATCCGGGCTGCTAGAACTCACCGTGTCGATCTAATCTCACTGGTAAAAAACTAAAAAAGGCCTCGTTATGATTCTCCAATCATTTATAACAAAATAAGGAATCAAACCAGGATTTCTATATTTGGCGTTTGTGATAAATTTGTTGTTGACAAAACTCTTTATTCAGATATCAAGGTCCCAGCTGGATTTATCTGCATATCTGGCAACCTGAGTCAGGGAGAGAGCAGTATCACTGTTGGACAGATTTTTTACATTCTGCTCCTTTAAAGGACAGTGACATAGTGGAGAGATAGGAGGGCTGCAGAGGCTGGCTGTACAGTGTTGACTCAAACTGGTAAAGGACATTGATATAAACTGATGTGGGTCATTATGGTGAGAAAATTGGCATTAGTCATTTATCTTACGCAGCAAGTAATAAATCAAGTCTTTGGTCCAGAAAATATGGGTCAGTTTGAAACGTCGGGTATAAATCCAGGAGATAAACTTTAGGTGAAACTTTGGGTAAACTTTTCCATCTGTTTGTTCTAATGTAATTACATTTTGCACACTAAAAAATCTGTGATAAATATACCTTTTTATGATGCAGTCCCGCTTCACCCGAAATCCCCCTTATCGACTTTAAGACCCCTGCTGTGCATAGTAAGTTCTACAAGAATAGGCTCAAGAGCATGTGTAAGGATCATTATTAAATACAAATACTAGGAATTATTTGAGTCATATTTAAAAGAAGTAAAGTGACAGGAAAGAAAACATGACCTATTCACTCAAGCAGTGATTGAAGTTCCTGACGTACCTTCTCATCAAGGACAGAGTTGGGACTTCCACGATCGGGGCTCCCGTGGTAGTGGTCAGCGCCTGGTCTGGGGGGCTCATTGATGGGCGTGCTGCTGTAGGGGGCGGGGTGGTCGGCCAGCTGCACCACGCGGTCACTGCCACATTCTGGACACGCTCTCTGGCCTGGGGAGAGGAGCACAGCCGGGACACTTAACCCCTTTTAGATGAAATAACTCTGTGGGATACATTATGGAGCAGTGTTGGCCTGACTTTAGACACTGTTGTGGTAAAGGAAGTTTATGTAATCATCAAAAGGGATATAACATTACTTATAGACTGCTTTTGATTCTTTCTGATTTTGATTCTGCCAATTGTCTGCCCTGCCCTAAGGTTTCACCAGTGTTGAATACCCTCTGCTCTTTCACTCTTGTTGTCAGACAATTCAATTCAATTCAATCTTGTATTTCCCTAAATCCCAACAGTTGTTATCTCGGAGGAAAACAGTTCAACAATAATCACCAATGTCCATAAATGTTGTTGAATGTTGAATACCCCGCTTCTCTATAATATTGTAGTCTGGACTTTTTTTGTTGGGGTTTTATTTAAATCAAATTACAACATTGAATGCATGCTGTAATTAAGGGGCCTTGTTATGGACACCAAAATATTAAGCATCAGTATTTGTCTTTATTTAGATTGAGCTTACATTTCATTACATTTTTATCTCCAATTTTGTCATCGAATAAAGAGCCTTAATTACTGATTACTGATGAACAGTTTAATAACAGTCAAATGCATGTTACACTTGCCTTCTCCAATGTGAAATGACGAGTCAGCACTGGTAGCATTTGCCATTTTACAAAAAAACTTCCAATTCCTTGGACACTTGTCCAGCGACCAATCAGAGAGCCGCAAAGTGGTCACGGGGACATTAGTGGTCTGAGCGAGCAGACTAAACATACTCGTAAACAGCCAAAACAGGAGCTACATCAGGACTAAACCAGGGTTGACAGTGGGGGACATAATGCTTGTGAACATATGCGTTTTCATGCTCCCGTTACTTTATGCAACTGCTTCGAGTGTGTTTGCCGATGCGGAAGTACCGTTTAAACTAGAGAATGTGCGTCTGGTGCGCGAGGCATCAGCGTTCCAGCGTTGGCGGTGTGAAAGCAGCTTAAAAGTCTCCCACTTGTTTGAACCAAATCTTTTTACTTTTTGTACAGTCATTTCCAGCATTGCCACTGCAGCCTGTCCATGTATTTGTATAACCAGAGGCAAACAGACCCTCTGCACATGCACTTACAAATGATACAAAAATACTAGCGTGTTAAAGCGGGTCTAGTTTGAGCACAGGCAGAGACAAGTCCTAAAGCAGGACGTGGGGAGGCAAAACAACTACTGCTATCTGTGCAGCTGATTATAGAGGTGGGAACAGAGGGGGTAATGCAACTACAGAAAAACACAGATGCACAGTCACTTGTTTTGAGAAGAGAATGTTGGCAAAAACAAAGTCAATGCAGAAGGAGGTGGGACAAACACGCAAAAAACAACTGATTCATTTATCCTAAACAATTTACAACAGTGACACTTGTTCAATGCCACTCTTCATAAACGCATCTATCACAGCTGTTTTGCGTTTTGAGTTTCTTCTTGTCAGCCAACTGATTTGTTTTTATTTGCTTTGATTATCTACTGCTGAACAACAGCTCCACTTTTAGCATATATGTTTTACTTTTAACCTATCACAAAGTATTTTTCTAACTTAAACATCTGATTCGGTAAAGAGAAAAACATACAGGGCCAAGATAAAAAGTATAATATTTTATCTCTGCTTTCTAGACTTTGCTGCATTAGTGGGTGTCACTGGCCCGCTCCAAAATAAGCTATTGTTTTCACATCACGTAAAACACAAACCGCCAAAGCGAGTCATTTTCTTAACTTGTTTTCGTTAAGCATGTTTTTCTATTTTCCCGAAAAACGACCACAGAACCGTCCGGCTTTTGCCACCACTGATTGGTTCGAGAACAATTTGTCTGCTGATGGGCTGAACTTCCCAAAACCATAACCAAAGTCATCCATAAGAAAAGAAGGGAGTGAGGACCAGATTTTCCCTTCACAGAAAACCATTTAAACACATCCCACATCATTACTATTTAAGGATTAATACAACAATCCTTATGTGCTTTGTCTGGCTCTAAAAATGGAACAGACAAGGTGCAGCTTTATGTTTCCGTCCTGCGTCATTTTTAGAACTTGGCCTTGTGCTGTGTGACGTTCGTGCTCCGTTGCCAAGTGAAGCAGTGCCAGGTGAAATGGCATATTCTGTATTCTGTGCAAAAACAAAACATTCTTGGTGGTTTGGGTCTGAAAAGCGTTAAAAAAAACTGGTGCATAGCTGGGAGGTTTAGTGAGTGAGGCGGACCATTACTCAGCAGCGGCGGACGCAAGGGGCGATACGAGCGCCATCAGAACATCTCTGCGGCCGAAATATTTTATTCCACTCGAGTTTACTGCGAGTTAATGAACATAGTCACTTTATTTGTCACTATGTTTACAAGCAGGGCAGGAGAGGTGGGTAAAATGTCCTACTTTATAGAAATCCTGTTCAAATCAAAGTGTTATGTCTGCCAATGTGTGTATACAGTGTGGTAAAGACATCACAAGGGATTTTAACAAGATTTGGATTTAATGGCATGTAACTTTTACCAGACCCTTTGTTGGTCCCACAGTGGGGAAATGTAAGTGTTGCAGTGCACAGTACAAGCACAGTAAGAATAAAAGTAAAATCCTCCAACTGATTTTTATTTTTTTTTCAGATGATGTTTGATATGTTTGTGTGTTTAGTCGGTGATTGCTTCATGGGACACGAATGGAACGTTTTGTTAAAGCTGGAGTACCTGACCTTCATAAATACATTTTGTTTGTCAAAATAGAAAAATCGGACCACGGCCTTTTTTATCTTATCAAAACACAGTGAGACGACAGTTGGCTCAGTGAGACTTAAAAATGCTGGGAAGAAGTTTTATGACTGATGATGAATGATAATTTTATAGTGACTGCAGAATGAAAAAAAAAACATTATAATTAAACAACTCAATGTGTAACAAGTAATCTCCATAAGGATGCCCTCTAAACAACTAATTGATCCATTTAAAGAATACTAATTGATTATGAAAAACATGCAATGACTATCTTGTGTACCTGTCGCATCTGTGCTGTCCTCTTCCTCCACTGCCTCTTCTTTTTCTTTTTCTTTCTCTTTCTCTTTCTCCTCCTCCTCCTCCTCTCCACTTTGCCCCAGCGCCACTGCAGAGTTCAGCCGCCTTCTGCCTCGGGCCCCTGGATCCTGGTCGGTGGAGAAGTCCAGGCCGCAACGCAGACACTGCAGCCGCACATGACCCAGCCCTGCGGTGAGGCGACGGTTCTGTTCCAGCACCCCGCGGAGAACCTCAGTCAGAGCCTGCAGCACAGAGACAAGAACTGACTCAGACTGAAATGTAATGTCTAGTTTAATCCCGTATTATATCATTTCAATGTTAACCTGAAAACATTTATTGGTTACACACAACATTAACAGGTTTTGCAGATCTTTGTGTCAAAAAAGGTCTACATAAATTACATTCTTTTACTTTGAGAAACAGGAAGTGTGCTGATAACGTGGCAAACCTCATGACTCTACTTTATAGACTTTGCTTTTTTTTCCAGATATGGTTTTGGTTTTAATGGTGCCCCAGCTTTAACCTGGTAGTAAAACTTGCTCAGGACTTTGAAAGTTAAGAAAAAACTTTATTATATAGTATTTGTTTATTTGGAGGGGACAGTGTGTATTAATGAACAGCAGCAATGAGTACCAGATTGTAGCTTTCTTTTTTAAAGTTAATTTCCATCTATAGTCTCACAGTCACACACACAAACATCCAATCATTCAACCCTCAACTATTGTACATGTTTTTAGTGTGAGGGGGAACCGTAGCACAGAAAGGCCCCGTCTGGAGACCAGACCCTTCTAGGTGTGAAGCACAAGTGATAACCACTGCGCCACCATACCACCATTTTGTGCGGCTGTTTGAAAAAACTGCCTTAGTAATGTGTTCTGCAATCAGGTGTCATAATAATCTCTGTATTGTTCCTTTAAAATACACAACTTAGAAAAAGAGCTGGAAGTGTTGTTCTAAAAGCCAAACTAACAATCTAGAACATGTTCTCTTCCCTACCTTTCAGGCCAAATCTATTTTGATTTTGTTACAAATGATTTTTTTATGTTTAATAACAGCTGTGTTGCTTCTGTGTTTGCTTGAAACAAATGAAAAAATGGTTTCTTCATGAGTCACTTGCACCCTAAGCTAGGGCTGGGCAATACATCCAATTTAGGCAATTAATTTGTGAAAAAGGTGAAAATGGTGAAATCAAATGAAGGATATTGTGAGAGTTCCAGCAGCACATGAAGAGCTCAGTCTGTACAAGACTTTCATAATACGTATTGGGGGAAACAAATTAAAAATTGTTTTGAAACTTGAATATTGAGCGGAAAGATCAACAAATATTTTGAAGGGCAAAGTCTGTCTTTGGTGACTTCAATGAAAAACGATATAAAATCGAAATATTCCAAAGCAGGAAATAAAATCGAGATTTTATTTCCTGCTTCCAGTTACACACTTTGGCTCTAAAAAACTCCACGGGGCTCATCGTTTGTTACTAAATTTCTTCCAAAATGTCATTTGCATCCCAATTGATACCGATGAATTGTTCATTTGATGTCGGTTTTTTTTATTATTCTAAACAAGATGTAATAAGATGGCTCAAAAGTGAGCCAGAAAAAGATTTCAAAATGTATCTTCTATTTTTCTACCCAAAAATGTGGTGATAATCAAAGCTATCATAAAAAAAAGACAACTCGGCACAAGAAAACAAAAAGAGAATTACCATAAAAAGGATCAAGGGCTGAATGTTACTCTACAGCTGTATTTTGGTCAAGTAACGGAGCCATAAAAATGCACTTTGTTGCCGGGACGCCTCACAGCTTTAATACGGCTAATCATTTGAAACAGCTATGGTTTTCATCCCTTTCTCCTTCTTAATTCGCCTTTTATTGACCAGCGCATTATGTTTTTTACGGGGGCAGCTCCAAATCTGTAACCTTCCCAAAATTGCTTTCAGCTCGGCCTTTTGTTTTGTCTTTGTGAAAAACCTTGGATTTTGCTGACTTCTTTCAGTTGCAAAAAAAAAAGCAAAAACAAATAAATAAAAAAGAGCTCAGCATTAAGGAATGGGCATGGGCGTTTGGTGCCGCGTTCAAACAGTGTCTGGCAGGCTCCGAAAAGTTGCACAATGTGAGAAGACAAAGGCTATAAAAGAGGCTGTAAACGTGGTACAGGCTGTTCTGCACAATGTTGACATTGCGTTGGAGAGGTTCAGAGGGGTAGTTGTAAACGCGCCATGTCCAAGCCGCCATTATCAGCATTTTTGGGAGACTTTTCTGCTGCTAAATGTAGGGTGAAAGTGGTGGGTGTTACCTGCAGCGCCTCCTGGGGGTGGTCGTCGAGCAGGACGTACCGCCGCCTCTGCTTGTCCTTGCTGATGTAGTCAAACTGGAGGTCCACAGCCGGGAGCTTTGCAGAATCCTGGGACGAGACGACGTAAAACATTATCAGACCCATATCAGAAGAATTATCCAGGTCATTTTTCAAGTATTCATCAGCAGTGTTCCCATTGAATTATTTAAAAAATCATTCACTTTATGATTTTTATTCAGATTTAATCCAGAATATTCAACCAATCTTCTATACAGTACAGAGATTTTATTTTTATTTTTTTTCAGAAACACAATAAGACACCAACATGCGAGTTTTTAAATAGGTTTGCTTTCTAAAAGACAAACATTTGGGCTTTTAAACTTTATAAGCAAACTGTTGAAATCAATAACTGAGAAAAATATGTGATAAAAATGTAGGGAAAGTGATTAAAAGGTACAATTTAATTATCTGGGTTTATGTAGTTATTGTTCAACAAGTAATATTTATTAATAGTATATACAGTATTTTGGTTTTTATGCATTTTGATCTGTGTTTGTAAATTGTTCGTGCTGCACTTAGAACTTTCTCATACACAAATCTTGCTATACAAATAAATGATTGATTGATTGATTGATACCTGTGTCCAGCTGGCCTCTGAGGTGTCAACTCTGGTGAGAGAGTCCAGCTCCAGTCTGCAGCGCTCCTGTCCCGTGTGCAGGTCCACCTCCAGTAGCAGAGCCCTCTTGAGGCGCACAAACACCTGCCTGCTCTTCCTCCTTACTCCCTCCTCCTCCTCATCATAATCATCATCAGACAGCACGCCCACCAGCAGAGGGTGACACAGGTCCACTGCAAACAGACAATTTTGGTTATAGCTTCCTCAACAGTGAGACCTATCAAGAACTTATTATTCATGTTATTATTTTTGATACAGATAATTACATATCCTAAGCCTTTGAGTAGAGTACCTCCTAAATCTTCCTCATCCTCCTCTTCCTCTCTGGGGTGAGAACTTTTCTTGCTGTTGGAGGCCTCTTCTTTGGTTTCTCTGGGACTGTACTCCACCGTGCACAGCGACTGGGTCTGCAGTGTGGACTCTGTATCCAGCTCTTCGTCTTCCTCCAGCCCGGGGCACAGCGGAGGTGGCGACAGCTCCTCAGGTGGTGCCGGCCGAAGAGGCGAGGGGCTGAAGCCGTTGGAGAGGTTTTGCTGCTTTGTAGAAACGACGGCGGCGGCGATGATGGTGGGTGGAGCCTCTTGGTACAGGTGGTGTTGGTAGCGGAGCCAGTCTTCACCCAACTGCTCTCTGAAGCTGGACATGCGCTCGATCTCCTCCTGGTGTGGAAGGACTATTTCTACAAGGACACAATAATAACAAAAATGATTAGGAAAGTTTCACTCATTTTTAAAAGGCACAATCACTCAGAAAATCCCCATTTGATTTGTGATAGACTAATGATTTGCTAGAACTACACTGGGAAACCATCTGTTAAAGAGCCAGGGGACTCTTAAATATATTGAGATTGGAATCCTGTTTCAAAGGCTATTGTCTAGAGATTTAGCACAAAAGAACCAGAGAGCACCCGTCATTTTGGTACACATAGCTGAAATCCTCACGGTTCTTCAGTGCCTTTTATTCTTTCTTTAACGCTGGCTTACAGAAGTCGATTCAATGACAAGTTGACAACAATGACAATATTACCATTAATTAACAATAATTGATTGAGTGATCCATCAAAAAACATGGCACACCTCTACATTATACCCTTTTAACGACATTTTATAACTATAGAAAACTTTCATCTAACAGTGAAAACACAAAACATTAGGTTCCTGGCTCACCTAAAGAAGTACTGGTATACCTGAAAGAAAAGTTCTGTGCAAAAATGTTAGGCTACGGTCCTGGTTTGAAATGTTAGCATATAATAATAATAATAATTTTCTCTTGACCTCCAGACTGTTCTACTTTAAATATCATCCATATTTTTGGCGCTGTATAGTCAAATTAAATATAATAACATTATATCTCATGGTCTTTATAAAAACAAAGTTCCCTACTTTGTGCAGGCACTGGTTTGGTGTCGTAGTCCGTGTCGCTGGGCTCAGAGATGCTGGCTCTCCGCACTCGCACTTTACTCTGCAACAGACACCGACCACTTACACATGTACCTTTTCACACCTATCATAAATCGACTCATAAATGACCTCATACTTTGGATTTCCTGCCGCGCCGAATATTTGCCGTGGCCACCTCTCCCACTGACACGCTGTCGGTGAGCTCTCCCGGACCACTGGAGCCGTCCTGCTGGCTGCACTCACGGGCCACAGACTGAGACGACAGGTTCTGGACCATCATGGGACTGCACTTTGGTAAAACCTCAACATCACAGGACACATTTGATGTTAAGACACAAATTAGGGCAAATGTTTTCTTTGAGTTTTTAACTGCTACAACATTATGCATACTCCATCTAAAACAATCCAGCAGTTTTAGCTCCATCTACCTCTATCTCAAACTGGTATCACTACGACAAATCCTGGCGTGACTATGACATGTACGGAGCTAGCTGGAGGGGTTTCATTCCTATTTATCCACATCTATTATACATACTTATATCACATCCATATATTTTCTGTAGTATGTATAGTATGGTAATATTTGAGAGGGACAGAATCAACACAATTGATACATAACAGTTGTGTGCGTTTTCCATTGTACAGTAACATTCTCTGACAGCAATGGATCATTATTATACACTTTCATATAATAAATATAAATATTGCGACAAAATACTCACTGATAACTCCGACGAAGACAACTTGACACCATCCAGTTTGAACTATAGAAAAATCATTTAAAAACACAGGCATTTAAGGATTTTTTATCGACTTTCAGAACCACGGCATTAACCCTTTTTAAATTCTGCATAAATCAATAGGAGATTGAGGAGTGTCCTCTGTCTGATTTAATAATGCATATAAATCTAGTCTAATCTTTTCTTCATAATAAAAAAATAGTGGTCCTAATAGTCTTCTCTAATAAAATTGAATGAACAAATCAAACCACCACCACATGAATATTCCAATGACCAATTTCCTCGTATTTGCTTTGACTGACATAAAAACTCACTTTTAAATTGGCGGCTTTAGGCGACATATGTCTGACAGTGCAAGTCCGATGTGTTTTCTGATAAAACAGTGGATTCCCCTCAAGATTGAGCTAAAAATGAAAAAAGACACTTAACACATCTTCAATAATAAAAAAAAAAAACTATAGTCACATTTTGACACTTACCGTGTGTAAGCAGTGGAGCATTGAAATCGGAGCGAGCTGGGAATGCTCTAAAAGTAAATTATAAGCCAAGTCTAAATGTTCCAAGGCGAATAACTGCTCCACGCCTATGAAGAAAGCAAATCAGTAAAGCCACAAAAACAATAGCACCAGCGTGTTTAAATATAGAGCGTCTGTTTTGAGATGCCGTTGTCTATTGTGAATACATTGTAGTAAATTGTGGTTGTGTGAAAGCGTGCTCGAGCATGTCGTACCGTTTACAGACTCCAGCTCGTTGTTCCGGAGGATGAGGGTGAGGAGTTTGGCCCGGGCACTTAAGCCGAGCTGTGGTGCCATCTGCAGGCAGTTGTAGCCCAGGTTCAGGTGCTCCAGGTCGCTCAGAGGCTAAACAATGTCATAAAGATTAGATGTTTTGTCAGGTGACGGATATGGAAGTGAAAGAAGAAGAGATATTCCCAAGTCCTGTCACCTTGAGGAACTCTGCGCAGTCTTGAATCTTGTTGTGGCTTAAATCCAGGTTTTTGAGAACGTTTAGTAAACTCTGTAAGGAAAAATATGCACGGAATTAATTGGAAAAGAAAACAGGAGAACTTAGTTAATATGCTCTCAAAAATAAGACAAACTTTTTTATTTTCTATATTTCTTATAAACAAAATGAAAGGCAAACAACAGGTAATGCACCATTCTTGGGTCCAAACAGTGAAGCTGTGTAGTTGACGCTCTTAAACCATAATCCATAGTGTACAGCGCAAGTGAATAAAACCCATGGAAAAGAAAGATGCAATTAAAAACTCTTTACTGAGTATTCACACAAAAGCCAGGCCAGGAGTGAGAAAAAATATAAAATATATTTTTAATCAAAATGAATCCACGATTAACTTTAGCAATAATGATTAACAAAATAATTATCTAAATTAGATGCAAAATATACCAAATTAAATCAATTGCCAAATAATCATAATTCTAATTCAATCACCAAAAATAATGTATTTCTATCAAATAATAATACAAACAAAATAGAAATGTATCAAAATATAATCAAAACAACTAAACTTCTATTCAGGCTCCAACAACAATAATAAAAAGTATTTATCCGTCCCGTCCCATCCCAGTCCAACCCCCACCCAACCAACCCTCATTCACACTAACATTCTCAAAAGTAATCCGTCAAACAAATATTAATTGTTCCTAGTGTAGTCCTCAAGTTTACTATATTCCAAGATTAATGTATTTGCGGATGAGGCTTTCTTTAATACACTCCATAAAATGATATGGAATTGTATATGTTATTTGTTCATGTGCAGATGTGAGTGTGTGGTCTCACTAGTGACTGGTCGAGGCAAACGATGCAGTTGTAGCTGAAGTTGAGTGTGTGCAGCTCGAGCCAGGGCAGCGCAGAGCTCAAGTCTCCCCCACACAGAGACAGTAGCTCCTGGGCAAACACAGGCACACACATGCCCAGGAAAATTAAATGCTTTGTCAAAACATTAGCTTTATCGTACATTACACTAGTGCTGGTGATCTCTGGGTGGATACCATGATAGCACATGGTATCGTGATTTTTATTGTCATTTATTTTTTATGAAAAGATTTCATTTGAGTGCTTGGATTGAACTGGAAGGTGGTGGTATCGTCTGATTTACTATTATTTATTTCAAATGTAATTATTACCAATTTCCTTTTGGGTTCAAAATAAATAATTTGGTTCTTTTCTTGAATAAAATAAAGTATAACATGCCGTGGGGGTCATGGTAAAGTAGCAAGGCTTGACGGAGGCTAAGAGGTTAATCAACATATTGATATTCATGACACAAAATATATCACAAGATTGTCAATTTGGCACAGTCCTAAATACAGTGATAGAATGTTTCTTAATAGAGACTTTTTTAAATATAAATATTACCTCAAGGGAACTAACGCTTTTGGAGCAAATAAAGACTTCCAACTGGGAGTAGACCCCACGCAGACCTTCCAGGCAATGTGGTGGGATTCGCTTGATCTAAATTAAAATGAGAACAGATCAAACAGATGAAAGAAATAGGATGAAATAGTAACTAGTTAAACAGATGAGGTCTTACCTCTAATATCTTTAAGGATTTGAAGGGGAAAATCTTAACCACTGACTGCAGCCTTGTATCAGGCGGGTTTATGATCTATCGCACAAAACCAAGCACATGTTATCATTTAGGTCCTCGCTCCCCTCAAAACACTTTGGTTCTGTCATTGTTTCGAAATACATGTATTTGTACAACATGTTTTGTTCATAAAGAACAAGCTTTTTTTCACACTTCAAAAAACTGCTAACATGTTGTGAGCTGTTCAGGGGCACGAGCTACAGAAAATGGAAGTACCTTGAGAGACAGCGTCTTCTGCAGCACATCGAAGAGGAACTGCAGCTGCAGCAGGGAGCAGGTGTCCGCAGGGTGAGAGGGCAGAGCCAGGAAGCCATGCTGCTGACTGCGCGACAGTAAATACTGCTCAAAGAGACGCGTGAGCTGTTGTAGGGTGCAGGCCGGGAGGGTCAGGGTGCTGCTGCCCTCCAACACCAAGTCACCTGCCACCACACAAACACATTACATGAAATGATGCGCTTTCTACGTGTTGAGTACGGGGTTTTATTCATGCATCTATAATGGATTTAACTCCCTTTTCAAAGACCCTCACTGTTATCTGCGGAGTTATTTCTCCGGATTGTTGCTAAAAGAGTCGTGGGCTTTACGGTGGCACGGTGGCTGAGTGGATAGCACTCTCGCCTCTCAGCAAGAAGGTCCTGGGTTCGAATCCCGGCCGGACCAGGGCCTTTCTGAGTGGAGTTTGCATGTTCTCCCCGTGTCTGCGTAGGTTTCCTCCGGGTACTCCGGTTTCCCCTACCACTAAAAATATGTACAATAGGTCTGGCATGCGCCTCCTGTTCGGCGACCCCGCTCCCATCTCTGTGTGGAGCGAGAGACAAATGCCCAAAAATAACAATTGTAAACCGCTTTGTGACTCTGGTCTGTGAAAGGCGGTATATAAATAAAGCTTACTTACTTACTTACTTACTTACTTTATTTTGTCACATATAATCAGACAAGGTACTTATTCCCTGTATGTCTCTGTGTTCTTGCCATGGATCTAGGTTCTTGCTCATACGCCAACAACTTTACCCGCACGCTCGCTCCATCAGCTCACCCCCGCGTGCACGCAAACACGTCACATACTCTTCAATGCACTGATCGCAATTCCAAAAGGGTATTATTGTCAGTGCCCGTGACTGTGGTTCACCTGCCTCTGTCTGCGGACCTCCCTCACTGTCCTGTAATCGCGAACGGTCTCTCTGTCAGTCACAATATTATACACTGCATTTCTGGTGCATCCATCGATAGCCGTGATACTGACCAGACGTCACCAGTTGATGCTCAATGACTTTGAACAGCCGCATGTGTTTTATTATTAATCTTCCACAGTCCGTTTAGGATAAACTAAATAGAGGCTTCTGAAGCGGATTCTAATCATAAACGGAGAGACCGTTTGCATTTTAACGCGATTACTACCACAACATTATTGCTGGCTACTTCATGGATGTGGTCACTGTCTGTAGGAAAAATCTTCACATAATCTGCAGGTAGAGGATGACCCATGGTCATGGATCTATAACAGGGATGACCAGAGACCGTTCCAGACAACAACCAACAACACATACGAGTTTTCAACTGCACATGCGCAGTTGAAAACTCGTAATTTTGACTTTTAAAGTCAAAATTTTGACTTTCTGTAGGCTTTTTTTTTTCTTACAGGCTTCCATAAACATGCATGCAGCCTCAGAAAAAATATATACAAGTTCCATCCATCCATCCATTTTCTTCCCCATAATTCATTTCTGGGTTCGGGGGAGAGGCAGTCAGAGCTGCACCCAGTACACAGAGCACCAGCCCCTTCAGGCAAAGTGGGGTTAAGTGTCTTGCCCAAGGACAAAACGACAGCACACATCAGTGGGAGTCGTGAAGTAGGTCTTGTGGTGGGCTCGAACCCACGACCTTCAGGCTCAAAGGCCAATGTACTACCAGCTAAGCCACTGTCGCCCCCTATTTCAAATAGGGGTGCAACGGTTTGAAAAAAATCACGGTTCGGTTCGTACCTCGGTTCAGAGGCCACGGTTCGGTTCATTTTTCAAAAAAAAAGTTTTGTCTTTTTAATAAACACAGCTCATGTGGACTCGGCTCCTGCTCTGACTGCCCCCCCTGACCTAGAAATGAATTAAGGGGAAGGAAATGGATGGATGGATGGATGGCATATTCCATCCATCCAATTATGTCTATTTAACATAATTAATGGAAAACAACACAAAGTGCAACATAAGAAGGCACTTTATGAGGATATTTACTCTCATATATTACACCACCTTCCTGATTCTCCCGAGGAGGCGCTCCATTCTGGGCCCAGCCTCATTCACTGCATTTGTTTAATTTTTTGCATTATCAGTTGTGACTGGGATATTAGTACTGGGCCTTTGTCTTCCATTCCTCCGCTGCTTGTGTCAGTACCTGCGCTGTGTGACTGTGTGACTGTCGTAGAGGGGGCGTGTCTGCAGCGCCAGACTTTTCATCTCCCAGTCTGCGGTGATGAAGTGAGCGGTTCCGCTCATGGATCTATTATAGGTTCCGCGGGACGTCCAAGTGTCAGTCGTGAACGCAGCTGAGGATGCGCGGGAGAGTTGACTTTAGCCCGGTCTGACTGTGCGTAAAGGAGCTGCTTAAATGCCGCGACAATAAGCGGTCGTTGAGACGCTTTTTTCACTCATGTCTTTCTTGTGCCACAGTGTTTACACATCGTGACAGTTTTGTCAACTATTAATTATCAGTGTAGTTACAGTGAAGCCAAAATGCTCTCATACTGGGATTTAAATGACGCGGGGCTTTCAAGCATCTCCGTTCCTCCGCTCGCAATGACCGCGCTGTGTGTGGACTGAACAACGTGCGCACAACTTTTTTTTCATAAATCAAACCGCGGATCACGTCTGTACCGAACCGAAGACGTTGAACCGAACGGATCACGGATCAGTGATGAACCGTTGCACCTCTAATTTCAAATATACAAGTTCCTACTTCATAAAATTAAAACTAAAGAACTTGTACGTGAGCAACTTGGCCAATACTAAACTAACTAAAAACCTTTAAAATGTACATGGTATTACAGCGTGGTGTCACCAGTTTGAGCTACATTTAAGCGCCTCAAATTCCTTCTTCCCTGAAATAAACTTTCTTTATTTCAGGAAGTGTTCAAAGGTTCTGTATGATTCATTAGAAGAGACTTATTCCTGTAAAAAATATAGATACATTTAGATTTCTGTGTTCAAACCAACTCATGGATTTTACAAAAGAAAAGTCAGATTAAAATAATTATTAGAAAAATCTGCCGTAGGTAAATACAACTAAGAACTTATTTAGAGGATGGTTTTCGCACAATGGTCTAAATATTGTTGAAAATAATTGGCAGAAGTATAGACCCATCAAGATATTAATTGTTCATTGTGATATATAGAATTACACTGTGTCGATAGCCATGTGAGTTTGATCAACGTTAACGATTGCCCCGGGATGCTACAAGCAAGTAAAAACACAGCCATCCCTGTATGTAGGAGAAACACGTTAAAGAAAGCGCTGACACCGGGCAAAGCAGCGTAGACTTCTAAATTGAAAGTATCATCATCAAAAAAGCATTTCGTTATAACCACCTCAGTTTTTATACAACATACTCATAAGTTTTACCGTCATTTCGGAGGAGCTTGGCTAGACTGTGGACAAGAGGAGACTGGCCAGTCTGAGAAACAGCCATTCTGCAACCACCAGAAACAAAAAGCACATTTCAACATTACTTCTCCGCTTGCTAACTCATCGTGTTAGCAAGAGGTTAAAGCCTCGTTAAACCGCTCACCTGCACCGTGACAGTGCGGGAGTGCACTTCTAACATCGATATTTCAGTCCATGTACACATTTAATTCATATTTGTGCAGAGACAAAGGTTAAGTCTGAAGTTATTGCGCGAACTGTCCAACAGCGCGAGCGCACGGCAATGTTGACATATTTATCAGCACGTGACAAGAGGCGATCGTTTTCTCCCCAACGCAAATAATCCCCATTAAGAAACTATGCCCCAATGTGCTTTTTCTGAATCACAGGATAACTCTTTCAAGAATCAGAGATGGAATATGGTCTAAAATAAATATTTACTCCTGCAAATATCTGCAAACCTATATACCAGTGGGATAACTGTGCTGGGGAAAAAAAAGGCAGTCGAGTGAATCGGTGGTTTCCGCGTGCCATAAATACATTGACAAGAGCAAACCTAAATACAAAAAATTCAAATATTTGAAAACAATAATAACATCTTCGAAACGTGCCACACCTAAACAGCGATGTGTGCACTTGTGTTTGCCCCAAATGTATTGTGGTTACAACACGGTCCCTCACCACGCATTTCGTTATGTGACCGCTAGATGGCAAGAGAGAATAACAAGTTAACTTTGTTTGCAAACACTGTCTTACATACAAAAGTTCGTCAGTTTTAATTTATTGGTTTTATACAACCAATACTATACATAAATAATCACAATTATTCGTAACTTCAGGATGAAGGACCCTGGAAGGTCAGAACAAAAATAGCAATTTTTAGGAGGAGGTAAAATTACATTATTATTCTCATTATATTTTTATATTTATACATATATATATTTTTAATTCATATGTATATGTATATATATATACACAAACGCACACACACATACATGCATATCACCTTATTGCATTATTATACCTTATTGCATAATTATAATTATCTCATTAAAGAGAACCACCTCAATCCTTATCAACTGAAGTCTTCACAACCGCAAAAGTGTTTTCATTCTCTATATCGGAAAAATCCCCAGTCCATTAGACTTGATATAGATTAACATGAGCAAATAAAACTTTCCTCATTCGTCCCACGCATCACTTGTTGCTAGGCGGTAAATAAACACACACATAAGTATTTTCCAGTGGCCCTGCTGTTGGTCTCTGTGTTGGGCTTTATGTACAGCCGTTTAGTAAACATTTCCATCCAGCGACATCATCTCATCAGTTACAGTGGCGTGGGCTGTTAGCGAGCCGTGCAGGCATAAAAGAATGTTGTGTTTTTAATAAAGCACGATATTTATAGATTGGGCAGAAAAAGCACCATGTGGGAAAAGTTACACTAATTGTACTCGCATGATTCTGGTCAATTTTTCATTTCAATAGAGCCACTCATTGTGCTGATGTCAGGAAATCTAAATTTAGATTAACCACATGTCCAAGTGTCCAAGTGGCATTTCTGCAGTGTTGGGGAGAAAACTTTGAAAAAGTATTGAAGGTAACACAAGGTACACTTTACTGTCCCTGTAGTGCAGTTGCCTTCTGCATTTGATCCATCCGGGCTGTGTCAAAGCTGGAGGATCTTACAGTACTTATGGTGCATGTTTTGGATGGTGGGGGAACTCAAGAAAAAGCCAGAAAAAGTATACCCATCCAACAGGGGAGTGTACCCATGAGTTCAATCTGTTCATGTGATTTTGTGTGAACGCTCCATCTTCTCTTGTATCACCCCTCACTCTGACAGTCAAAGGGGTTAGAGTCCAGTTGGCCCGCCATGTCTTCTGTAGGAGTGCTGATCAGCTGGCAACTTCTCTCCAGACTTTGACCAATCTGAGTCATCACTTGGGCAAGGTTCCAGATCTGTGGACAGCAGTTTGCCTCATCTTTGTACTCAAAGAAGCAGAGACAAGTCAGATGAAAAAATTCAGGGCAGTGGCTTTGGCTTCCCATATTGTCAAGATCCAGGAGAGGCCCATTCAATGCCAAATGCAACATACACTTGACTCCCTTCAGTTCACATTCCAAAAGGACATAGGAGTGGAGGATGCTGTCCTTTATATTTTGCACCGGATCTACTCCTTTCTGGATGATCCTGGTGGATATGCGAGGATGATGTAGCTAGGATATTCATTTAGATCAAAATCTGGACTGGAACATCAACACAGAATACCTTTACCTTAAATTAAAACAAGCGGTATAAGCAATGTTGTAATGTTGTAAAATGTATTCTGTGTTCTCAGAATACTGTATCCTAAATCTTTTTTGCCATTTGTATATTATCCTATACACATGTGCATTCTGTATAGTTACACAGTATTGAGTGAATAAATTCAACTCTCAAAAGCACAATTGTGAGTGATAAAAATGTTAGCGCACCATTAAGCACCTGTACTATTGACCCATTTTTGAAGTCTGCCATAACAAGTACCGACTGCTATGTCCTTGCTTGGAGGATTGGAAAAACATAAAATTCTCTTCTCTGTCGTCTTTTAGTCAGTGGAGTCTATATAAGAATTACTTTTACAATAGGAAAACCTCACGTTGCTGTTAGTGACAGCCTCCTCAGTACATTCCAGTGTGCTGCTCTATTCTGGCTCCCCTCCAGTCTTTCTGTTGACTCTTTGAATCCTCTGGGAGGCATTTTAAGTCACTGGCCTTGGCAGAGAACATGACCCCAGCTCCAGAACTGGTCTGCAGCAAAACGCCCACCTTAGCAGCAGCCACGGTTTGGGGAATGACAGGGCATTCCTTGGTAGTTCTACCCAGATCCACAGAGCAAAACAAAGACTAAATGACTATTTCTTACACTTTGGCATACACACAGAGACTATGCCTGGCAAGCTGGACCCACACAATATGTGTACCATTGTGCTTGCATATGAAAAAAGATCAGGTTGGTCATAAATGAGTGATTGTTTGTATGTCAAGGCTGAGTTTGTCTTCAGAAATAGGTGCACTTATAGTCAGTAGAAAACACATAAACCAAAATACATTTGATAAAGACTCCCCATTATGGGTTTTTATTTACTTTAATTACCAAATTTCAATTGGAAAGTAAATAAAAACCCACATTTTAAAAGGACAGCAAATCAACATCAACCATAGGACTCAAGAAGCAGCCTTATTTCTGGGAGAGATGAGTCAAAAATAATAACATAAACATAATAATGTTTAGCTTATTATTCCTATTCAACACCATGATATTATCATGCAGGCTTCAAAGAACAGAGTTTATTCACAGGGGATAATTGCCTAGTGGCTATTGCAGAGATGTTCCACTGGGGTCAGTCTGTGGCCCCAGGGCAATCATCACAGTCTGACTGTAGCTCATCAGATAACTTGTTAGAACATGAACAAGCACATCACTGTGCGAGTTCAACTGGAATACTGTATATTGGATTTCATAAAGACTTGGTGTTGTGTTAGGACTGCTGGTCAGCTACTGTGATTGGTCAGTGATAGTGGTGAAGTTTTCTGAGATAACGAAAGCTCAACGTTATGCAGATTAGGGTCATATTGATGAACTTATAACTCTAAAACACTTGTGACAGACTTGTAGAATTCCTGAGCACCCTGTTAACTGCTGTATATTGATACTGAAGTTGTGTCCCCTCAGGCTGCAGTAAGATATGAGCTCAGTAAAGGACAGATCAGACAGCAGAGCTCTGAGCACGGCTATAGGACCCTGTAGGACCCTGGGAGCCCGCACCCCTCCTCTTCACCTGTCCCGTGGCTCTCTCCATCGCGCAGCCCGTCCCGAGTCAGTGCAGACTGTGACCATGGTGTGGAGCGCAGGCTGTGTGCTGCTGCTGCTGTCGCTGCTGTTCTGTGGGCTGTGCGTGGTGCATGGGGCAGACATGGTGTTCCTGTGCCCGAGCTGCACAGCAGAGCGCCAGGCTCTGTGCGCCCCGCTCACCCACAGCTGTGTGGAGATGGTGCGGGAGCCCGGCTGCGGATGCTGCCCCGTGTGCGCCCGGCAGGAGGGCCACACGTGCGGGGTGTACACGCCGCGCTGCGCTACGGGACTGCGCTGCTACCCCACCCCCGGGGCCGAGCTTCCGCTGGAGACACTGGTGCAGGGCCTGGGTCAGTGTCGGAGGAGCGTGGAGCCAGAGCTGGCCACCCTGAGCAGTGCGCCTCAGCAACCCACCGGTCAGTTCACTCATGGCCCCTGTATGTCCCCTCTCCATGTGCCTCTGTGTTTGGGACATGGGATATAATGGGTCTGTATGGTAAGAATGGATCTAGTCTGTGAGGTTTAGTTTCACACTTGGACTTAAGTCTAAGTTCACTCAGTGATGAATGATTTAGGCTCTTTGGTATGATATTATAGAATGTTTGTTTGAATTCTGGTTGTAAATGTGCACTTCACCAATTTACCTCGTTTTTTATGGGTTCAAATAGTTTACATAATAAGTCCTGTTAGGTCCTGGTTCAGCCCAGGTCCAGTGCTGTCCGCACCACTGGTCAGTGTTGTATATTTAATGAAGTGTCTAGACTGCAGCCTCTGCTGTTAGTGCTTTAGTCTCCATCACTGTCCTCTGTCATAACATGGACTCTTGTTTCTCCTATGTAATCCTAATTCACTATCACAGCCATTCAGAGCCCATATACCGGAGCACGGTTACTGCACACTTAAACATCATTGACTAGCAGTGTCCCAAGTGCGGCCCCTGGGGCGAGGTACTGCAGGGGGCGCGAGGTCTATATTTGAATATAGTGTGAATATGTGCATGCTGAATCACGTCATTGATCATGTGTGCAGGCATTCCCTATCCGGAGCATCTATGTGCTTTGGTATTTTGGGGGCACGAGTCAGATTAGGGCTCGTGTACGGTTTGATGGTGACCGTTGCACACTAAGCAGGCCCCTGCATGAAGGTGAACTGTTCGGAAGCTGATATATAAAACATACCTATGTATTTAAAAAAAAAACAACAACAACTTTGGATTGATCTTTTGCACCTAGAGCTGTGATTGTACTTACAGTGTTGGCAGAAAAAACTAAATTGATGCTTACTTCTTTTGCCTCAGACCTACAACAATATTGTGCATAATATTTGTTGATGCTTCAAGGCATTATGAGTCTATTTTATACCCCAAAAATGGACCATATTCGGTGATCTTTTCTAAAAAGCAGGGAATTGTTGCAGATAGCTCGGTCAAGTGTATTAAGACATCGTCCGCATGTAGGAATATTTCACGGGTTTCTTTACCTATTGAAACTCCTTTTGATGTTATCCTCATCTCTAATGGGCTATAGGCCAGGGGACTCCAACCTGTAGCTCAGGAGCCATATAGCTTTCCAGCACCTTTCAGGTAGCTCCCCTAGGATTCAAGATTTTCACTTATCTTGAATGAATACATTTTGAGCAATTACATATCAATTAAAAGTATAAAATAGGGTTATTCTGTATTACGGTATATTTTATGTGTCCTCCATTTAATTTCAACCGCAAAAAGGAGTAGCTCTCTGCCTCTTCCGTTGCATAAAAGTTGCTCTCCAATTGAAAAAGGTTTGGAGACCCCTGAGCTAGGCCAACAGCTCAATGCTTGTATAGCGAATAGTAATGGTGACTGTTGGGACAAACAACACAAAAACAACATATTTATAAATTATAATCCCCCATCTTTAAGACCTACAGCCTTAATCATAATAGAATGGCATTATTTCAACAGCATTGTAATATCACTTTCAACAGTTGCTTTGGGCGGTGTTCAAAGGGGCTCTGCATGGTGGTGGTAGTACAGCAGGGATGTGGCTTATGCATGTCAGTGGGAAACGGCGGCTCCAAAACACTGGATGTTTGCTCAGAGGAGTGGAGCAGGAGACAGGCCAGGAATGCATTGATCCTGACTGCACTTTGTCTCCAGAGCTGCTTAAAAGCCTGCACATGTATGAGTGTTGGCTCACTTTTGCCTAATCTGCATTTTTCATGACACAACCCTTAGTGCATGACTGCGATAAGAATATTGATTTAAAGAGAGTATGAGTGAATTGTGGCTAAAGTTTGGCACAATTTACAGCGATTTTTTTTTAGCTTTTCTTCTACAACTTATGGAAACAATTCAACTACAAACTATTTTCATCTTTCAAATGATATGGTCGGCACCTAACCCTATCTTTTGGGGGTGGAGTTGGGGTGTCTGTGTGAGATTCCTGAACAATCTAATAAAAAATATATAGATAATTAATTAATGTCACAATTAAATGTGTTTGGTGTTTTACTAATCAACAATATAATCGAAATTAATCTTTTGTTACAACATTGTATGTTGTTTCCATCCTGACTAACATGAGGAACTCCCCCACCAGCCCCTTCGGTCTGAAAGCTACTGTCCCAAACCTGTGCAGTTAGTATGTTATCCCCATGTCTGCAAGGAGAACATGCTCCGGTTTCCTCCAGGTGCTCCGGTTTCTCCTTCTAAAAACATGTACAACTGAAATGTCTCCACTGTGAGACGAATGAAGGAATATCTAATCTTATCTTATCTTGATAGCTCAGGGCGAATGAGTGTGTGTTTGTGAGTGCGACTGTAACGAGGCAGCATTCATCCATCTTCTTCCCCTTAATTCATTTCTGTGTCGGGAGGGTGGCAGTCAGAGTTGCACCCAATTCGCAGCACACCAGCACCTCACTGATCCTATTTTCATCAAGGGCTTCAGGCAAAGTGGGGTTAAGTGTTTTGCCCAAGGACACAACGACAGCAGACATCAGTGGGAGTCAAAAAGTAAATCGAACCCATAACCTTCAGGCCCAAATGGGCAATGCTCTACCATCCGGGCCACTATCCTATATGGGCATTGCGCAACTGGAGACTGTAACATTGGATGTTGATGGAAAATAACAGTAAAAACTCCTCCATCTAGAGAGATTCTCTCCATTTCCGTCATGATTATGTTTTCTTTTTGTAAATTATTATTTTCCCTCCATCCATTTTCTTCCGCTTTATCCGTTGCCGGGTCACAGTCTGAGCATAGATGCCTAGTCTTCTCTTTCCACACACACTTTCCACTTGTACGGTCTTGTTGAAAGGCTGGAAATGAATGCGACAAGATGGCTAACTGGATTTGATAAAAGTACATAATTAGTAAATAGAGTGTGCTAAATTGAGACCACCAAATAAACAAAAAATAAATACGTATTCAAACAGAAAAACAGAAGGTCTCTCACATTGTTGTTCAAAGCTTTCCTTTTCCATGTTTCACTTGAACTCCATGAAGCCAATCTCCTGGATGCTGTTTCAGATGGTTGCTATCAGTCCCCTGCTTTCATCTGGCTCTTGTTTGTTCCCCCTAAGACTCGATATCCGGCAGTAAACTCGCAAAAGTAAAACATGGAAGTAATAAAATAAGTCTACGTATTCCTTCACAACTGCCAACATTACATTTAAAGCTGTTTAAGAGATTAGTAAATGGCTTGACACCTTGGGCTCGGAATAACACCAGATACGGGGCTTTGGGATAATGGTTTGCAGTCAGCGCTAAATCCAGGCTACATTTGTTTGAGGCTAACGCTGCACTTGGATCAATGCATTTCTTTGTTTTGTGAATGTAATGTTGACGTAGGGCAATAAGCGCATATATTTAAAAGTGTTACATTTACAGCAGAGGTGCTAATTCTGCGGCTTTTTCAGTTTTTTCCTGATTTTCCCTGAGGTGGCCATATTTAATATACACATAGAAAACAGAAAAAAGACCATACAGAACATTACATACAGTATAACAGCCTCAACATTAGACATGCAACACAAAAATAACAAAATGCATTATGCTCCGTGTGACGCTGAAGGTGGGAGAAGCGGCTTTCCCCCATAACGCTCGGCCTGATGATGTTGATGCGTTCCGACCGCGAACTAATGTATTGGTGAACTTGCTAGTGAGACTTGTCTTATTAGGAATATCTTTTGCATACGTGGGTTTCGTTTCTGTCCAAAAAAATCTGATCTATAGATGTGACAGAGATAAAAAATGTAGACATATGAAAAGTAGAGATAGAACCAAACTGTTTTAGAGAGTGAGTGCGTTCGAGAGATTTCCCAGGAGTGTCCATGAGTCACAGTGAAGCGAGAACCATGCCTTTGGTTTAGTCATTCAAAAAAAGTGTGGAAAATTGTGAAAAATTGCTATCTCCATTCTTGTCCATTTATGGTATTGTATACGGAGCCCTCTGCAGTTTGACTCAGTTTTGTTCTTGTGCTTTTTAGCCTTATATAGACCTGAATCCAGAGTTTTCTTCAAATCCCTCCTGATCACATAGGATTAGATACGAGATCCTCTATTCGCGTCCTGCAGTAGGGAAATTTCAATGTTGTAGCGCACAGACAGGACAGTAGTAAGATACATTTGGGTATATACTGGTGAAATATTGTTTTAAAATGTATTCTTTTTTGTCGATTCAAATTGTGAAATTGTATTTGACATAAACTCATTACATGCAAGGTAACATCGCCAATCCTTTGTTATCATTTTGATGGCAAACAGACCATTTTTCAAACATTCCAATTTTGTTGATATTTTTGGGATTTTCACAGCTAATTATCAACATACATGTAATCTGGAAAAAAAAAACGCATGTTATTTGACTTGGGATGCACGGTGGCCCGGTGGTTAGCGTTTGCTCTTCATAACAAAAATGGTCCTGAGTTCGACTACTCCTCCAGGCCTTTTTGTGGGGAGTTTGCATGTTTTCCTTGTGTCTGTGTAGGTTTCATCCGGGTGCTCCAGTTTCCCCTACTTCTAAAAATATGTACAATAGGTCTGGCATGTGACTCCAGTACCGGCGACCTTTTGCTCCCATCTGTATGAGAGCAGGGTTCTTAAAAAACCAACAGTTGTATAGGGCTTTGTGACTCTGGTCTGCGAAAGGTGCTATATACATAAAGATTACTTACTTACTTTTGCGTGAGTTAAATTACAATCAAATTACAGAAGAAAAATTGACTTTTGAATGATATTCTAATTTTACTAGTTTCACCTGAAGGCAAACGAATGAAAACAAAGTCTATATTCATTATAAGGTATTTATGTCAACATACAGGGTCAGTTAAAATATTACATGCAATAATATACCTCACTTTGACATAAATGTACACCATTCTTACAATAAATATATGAATAATGTTTATAGACTGTGACCCATCTGGTAAAGA